TATCGTCTGTGGTCGCTCAAGGCTGAGGCGTCGGGCTGCTAAGCTTCTCGAGGTCGTGGGCTTGATTCCCGGCCATGCCGGTCGCATTTACCCGTGGCTGCGTACGCAGAAGCACCCTGGTTTATATTTTTATATTCAAGGGAACAATTAAGAGGTCCCGGATGGTCAGAAACTGTTCCCGAGTGGGGTGATTAAATCATATGATGGTCTTACCACTCGAGGGGCCAGAATTCATAGTGTAAAGGGGTTCATTGAGTGCTGGCGGAATGGTTCACCGGTTGCGTGATCAACGGCCCAATTAACGGGCCCCGAGAGCTGATCAGTCGCGTCAACGAGCAATACGCCGTAGACACAGATCCAGTAGATATCACTTTAGATGCTTAGTCACTGCATCATTCATTCCTCTTAGCTACACTTGGCTAAATCTAACTTTCAATGTTTCAAATAACAAGAAAACTATACTTACCGGTGTCGCCACGTCGACATCTTTGAGGAAGGATGTGAGATCCTCTGATATGCAAGAGGACCACTTGGGACGCCTTGATTGAATTATTGTGATGGCTTGTGGAAGCAAAAAGAGTAAGCTCAAGCAGGATGTGCGCTATAGTTGCCGCAGTCTTTAGATCTCTTTTCCGTGTGTTACGCTTGACATAATACCGACATGCAAGAGTCTTAAAAAGTCCCATAGAAGAGCGGTGAAAAATGCGGCACGATTCCTTTCACACGTCCTCAGGACTGGTCAGCGCAGGCCTTTCTACTTTTCTTTTTTTTGCAAACGAATGAGGAAATCGTCCTTCGATCCTTTGATTTACGAGATCCAGGCGGCGTACTAAAAGTGAGTCTTTCGTTTGGTTTCTTTATGCGAGTGTCGATAGACAGCTAGGTGCTATTCCGTGGCTTTGCGATTATTTTCAGCGTTGTTCGGGCAAAGGCTTCCAAGAGATTTACAGCGTGACTGCCATTGTGTGTAGTACCGACACGATTGTAAGATTTAGGCGCACGTTGAAGAATCGCAGATGGTCGAAACTTCCGAAGCCCTCCACTGCGACGTCCTTCAATGTCATATCAGGGGTTCTGGCGCGTCAACAAGGTGGAAATTGTTATTATCGTTAGGACAGAAATGTACAAGTTTAATTGGTCAAACTACATCCGCGTACCTAAATGCTTAATAAAGTCCATGCTGCCACTATTTTGAGATAGTATTGCAGGACGCGAAGATTTGGCGCAGCTGGAAATGCAGCATGCTGTACAATATTACGTCATAATCTCATGGGGTACCTTATGTATTGATTGATTGACATGTGGAGTTTAACTTCCCAAAACCACCACATGATTATGAAAGACGCCGTAGTGGAGGGCTCCGGAAATTTCGACCACATGGGGTTCTTTAACGTGCACAAAAAACTGAGCACACGCGCCTACAACATTTTTGCCGGCATCGGAAATGCAGCCGCCGCAGCCGGGATTCGATCCCGCGACCTGCGGGTCAGCAGCCGAGTACCTTAGCCACTAGGCCACTGCGGCGGGGACCTTATGTATTCGCGTACGGTGACAGGAAGGTGAAAACCTGTCGTCTTACTTTTTTTTTTCTCAGTAGATGCATCGCTTCTCCCTACAACCCCTCTGAAAAGTTTCTTCGCGTAACGCGGTTTCGCGCTACCTCCCAGATCAGAGGCATTGCAAGCTTTCTTCAACTCACTTGGTTTTGCACGGCCTCCGTAATCGGTCCACCTTTGACCATGTGACGACGGCGTGCGATGACGTCGTCGCATGATGTGACGACAAAGCAACGTAACGATGACGTTGCAGGCTTGCCTGGTTTTGTAGTGCCTCCGTGATCGGTCCATCGTTGACCATGTCAAGACGACATTGTCTTACGTCAAAGTGAAGTCACCGTGACGTAATGATGAGGTTGCAGATTTTGGTGAACTGCGATATTATGATGTCGTGGCGTGACATCACACGGTGATTATTTCTTGCATCGCTCGTGTTGCCTCTGACGCCCACGGTCAATATCCGAGCTTGATCAGGCACCTCAGGCATTAAGGGGCGAGGCAGACAAAGTGCCCTGTTTGCGTACGTATCTCGTTTTTGAGACTCATAGACAGTTAAAATGCAGTCACATCCCCATTTTGCGGTGTGTACAAGCGTAAAGGCACCCAATATTCGCGAAAAAGGTTAAATGTTTAATTGATTGATTTGTGGGGTTTAACGTCCCAAAACCACCATATGATTATGAGAGACGCCGTAGTGGAGGGCTCCGGAAATTTCGACCACCTGGTGTTCTTTAACTTGCACCCAAATCTGAGCACACGGGCCTACAACATTTCCGCCTCCATCGGAGATGCAGCCGCCGCAGCCGGGATTCAAACCCGCGACCTACGGGTCAGTAGCCGAGTACCTTAGCCACTAGACCACCGTGGCGGGGCTGTTGTGGGCATGTCTCGCGTCCGTGATGTCACGGGAAAACTGTCCATACAGTGAAGGATGACCACTATCCTGTATTTATTGGCCAGTGTTCGAAATTTTATATACTGAACATTCTATCTATATGACAGTGTAGGGATATTTGTGCGTTTATTTGGAACATCTTCATTGCCCATACATTAACACGACGGAACGTTGCTCTGTCTGGCGTTGTGAGAACTTGTCTGATGTGCGGTCTCTGCTTTGGGTTTGGTCGCTCCGCCGTGTCTTCAGGGCCCAATGAAAGTCGAAATAAGTGTGGCGTCACGTATGGCTGAAGTGCTGGATTTCCTAATCCTAAATTGAGGTTTCAGCGATTGTCCATCTACCACAAAACGCACTTCTCTTCCTGTGGTGAATGCATCTGGGAACCTCGACCACATTCGAAAGCCGAGGAAAATTTCTCGAAATTTCGCAGTGGTATGTTAACTCTGAAAAAGGAAAGGCGAGGGACCCTTCATGTAACATTCATGCTTAACGGCGTACGTGCCAAGAGGACAGTGCATTGGCATACCTGTACTGGCTGGGGCTGTGCACGTCAGCCATTATCATGGAATTCGCTTCTGCGCGGACCGATGAACACCAGACCTTAGTAAGGGAATAAAATTTTGAATTACCACAGGTATTCCATAATGTGTTACATATGTAAAGTTAGCGTTACATGTATTCGCAAATATAAAAACGTACCAATGCATAAGAAATGAAGAAAAGCTGGTCCGGAGAGAAGTGTTCAAGACCTGGCAGATTTTCGGGGCTTGAAGATTCTGACAACCGCTCGTACGTCTGCAAGACAAAAGCGCTTATAATAAGTCAACTAGACCCCGAGGTGTTGCCAGATACGCTTGTGAAAGAAAGCAAGCAGGTTATTTTCTCTTCGTAGTGAGGGCTGCTCAATTTATTTGATACACGTAGAACAGAGACGTCATGTAACGTTACGTGCACCTTTTAGTTTGTCCGCATCATTTTCTGTTCATGCTTAAAAAGCACACCAAGGTGCCTTCTGACGGTTTTTATTTTAGGGGTGAAGCCCCCTACGTTGTAGGTCGTATGTCCCGTGTCGTCGTAGTTGGTGTATAGTAGCCAGTTGCATTGCATGTCAATAAAAACGGTGTCGCAGCATATCCACAGAGTGAAGGATGATCAGTTGGACGAAGCGTCCGTCGACGCGTCCGTCCGTTCTTTTGCTTCGCCCCTCTCATCATTCACCTTGTGGATATGCTGCGATTTATTTCCCAATAGTCCACGCACGTGAAGGTAAGGTTCTTACAGGATTCAGTTTTCAAAAATATGTACATGTCAGAGCAGTGTTAACTGGGGCATTGATTCTTTAAAGATTCTTTAAAAAAGCAAGCCTTAATTTTAAATTAGAACATATTGAACACACATACTGGCTTTCGTAAGGGCTACTGTTAGCGATGCATATATTCATTGTATGTAACTATGAAATATTACGTAAATGCGAGAACCGTGTCAAGTTCTGTACAGTTCTTACATCAAGTGGTTTTACTGGCTACGCTACTATGCATACTCCGTGTGTAGAAGAGACTAAAACTTAAGGGCGATGCACATAGTGATATAACGGAAAATGGTAGGCGTAATTTCTGATAGGAAGTTACAAAAACGGCCTGTTCAATTAGACAACAGACCTTGAGGACATTCTAGACGGAATTGAAGCTACAGAAATAAATCTTTGTGGATAATGTGCTCAGGACAGATAACTGATAGTCAATGCTCTCAGTGGGATGGTGTGGATGGCAAGAAATGGGGAAACGCAGCTTAGAATATCGCATATGGTGAGGCGGAGTTAGGAAATTAAGAAATTCGCAGGCACGAAACAGAATCCGCTCGCGCGAGATAGTGTAACTTCACCGAACAAGTGGCGCGTGCAAGGTTACAGCTGATAAGGAACAAGAAAGTACAGAAAGAACGCGTATTGTCTGTCTCATCTTGTTCCCCCGTCGTAAGGCTTTCGCCACGTCTTTTTATTAACATTTATATTTATATATATATATATATATATATATATATATATATATATATATATATATATATATATATATATATATATATATATATATATATATATAGGTGACTCTTCAGCCAGCATTCGAATGGTCGGTAGTACATAGACTTGCTTGAGGTTCGTTCGTTGGATTTCGTGTGCCTCTGTTTGGCTAGCAGACCGCTTTGTCCCAATAAGTAGTTCAGATAAAAATACAGCAGTCCCACTTTACCACTTTGACTCTTTTAGGCTTGCCAATCAAAATCGGCTCACGATCTTCACAACTAGTCGTTCTTTTATCCGAAACAAAAGCCGAAACGCAGTCATAAACGAAGCCAACAAGTGCGCTCGAAGCTACGAACATGATGTCCATAGGTAACTCCCCGTACGACACATCATTTTCGCGGTGGCCGAACGATCGCAGCGCCACAATTTTCCCAGTAAATATGGTAGAGGAAATCGTATGAAGCAGTGGGCAATACACATGCTTTCGGTGAAGATGCTGACAGTTGTGATGATTATGAAGGAAAATGCCGTAATGACGCACTCACCGCATAGGCAACGCGCACTGCCCCGTTGTCCGCGATATTTTCTCCCACTGTGTTTTCTCCGTGGATCTAAAGAAAATGAATGCATAGATAGCTTCGTCGGACGTTTCCTTCGATATGTGAAATGGTATACGTACCGTCTCATTCGTGACTGGGTCGACTATGCTTCCGTACTGTTTGATGAAGCACTCTTTCTTGGCGTTGAAGTTCTGCTCGGTTTTGTTGCTCCACCAGTCTATTAAGCGTCCTTCGCCGTCAAACTGGGAACCTTTGGTTCGGGTATTGTTGGTATTTAGCAATTTCCCGAACTTCATTGAATTTTGTTTTGCTGAATTTCGCTCAATTGAAAATATTTGATCTGCAAAGCATCCAGCTTTTGAAAGTAAAGACGCACTCACCTTGGTCGTCATAACCGTGCGTTATTTCGTGGCCAATTATTGATCCGAGTGCTCCGATGTTGGCGTATCTGCGTCAGTTAGTGAAATATAACCTGAGGTGAATGTTTTTTTTTTTTGAAGGGGGGTGGGGTTCGACCGGATGCGCTTTCTGGAACTTTTGCTCAGTTCGAAAGAATCGCCTTCTCGAAATTTTGAAACTTCCTTTTGAAGGTGTTGGTCACCCTCTAGGAATTTTTAATTTTGGAATTCAATAAGATAATAAAGGAGTGTACTTTAGCAAAACTCGTCGTTGGTGCATGTTACAAGATTATTGGACTAAAGAATGAATGAATGAAAAATAATGTTAAAAATAATAAAGTTAGACGAGATGACGCACCAGCGCGTCCAATATTCTTCTAAGATAATGAAGGCTGTATACGAGGGCGATAATATGAGTTTCATGAAAGCCACTTACTCTGGAAGCCCTTCTTGAAAGAAAGGACCATGAAGTATTCCTCCCGGTATTACTGCCACCGTGCGTAGGAAAAAACGTGTTAGTCTGAAACGTTTCGCATAAACAAACTGCTAAAAAAACAATGCTTGCCACGAGGCATCTACAACATCAGAAGCAGTGCTCGCGGATTGAAACGCATGTATAAAACTGGTGTGCGTAATTGTTAGAGATCACCACGTCATGTCGCTATATGCAAAACTCGTCGCCAAAAATGTGGGTAATTCTGACGTAAACGTCTCAGTCGAAATTACGCCGATATTACAAAGTGCCCACGCTGAAAAAAATTAAAGTATACTTCAACCATGGTCTGTAAAGCACCTTCGGCAAACAGCGAATACCTTCTCGAAGACTTCTTTGAGGCGCCGCTGTAGATAGGCGTCTGTGATAAGCAGCTTTGTACAGTTTTATACGAAGTGATGTTTGTTCGCACACTGTGAGCAGTATTGGATGGAAATGTGTGAATGTGAAAGTTCTGTTGCAAGGCACTGATTATGTCAGGTTATTTTATTTTTGTTTGCTGTACGTTCTTGTACACTCGTATATTTTTGCATTTTGGGTGAGCACTTTTTTCTTTTGTTGGAGCAGTTAGATCGAGTAGCCGACGTGATATTGCCACATTGAATATGCAGTGCCAAGAGAACAACGAAGAACACGCGCAGCGGGAGAAGACGAGGTTCTCTTCCGATCAGTTTGCCAGTAAGTGAGTTTCCTGGATTCGACTGCTGCTGTTTCTGCATTGTGACACTGGTGGAGGTGCGGGGTACATGTTCGGGACGCCTGACAACAGCCCCGTATCTAGTCCAGAAAGACTTCCGCGCATCGACACCCCCGTTCACTGCAGCAGCAGGCGCCTGTTAGGCCTCAGCCCGGAGTTTGGTCCATTGCCGGAAAGCGTGACTGTGCCAGAAAGCATGACGGTGCCTGGAAGCACTGGCCCCAACACGTCCAGCCCAAGCACGACACAGGTGACTGTTTTGAATCCTCGACTTCCGGTTGACTTCCACGGAAACGCATATGAAGATGCACATGACTGGCTCGAGGAATTCGAGCACACAGCGAATGTTAACGGTTGGAACACCACACAGAAATTGGGCTACGTTTATTTTCCGCTTCAAGACGGAGCCCGAACGTGGTTCACGAATCGCGTGTGGTCGTCTTGGGACGAGTTCCGTCAGAAGTTTCTCGACACGTTCGCGAGCACTGAAAGACGAGAAATTGCACAGCGTCTCCTCGAGTCACGGATTCAGAAACCAAATGAATCCGTTACGATGTTTGTTAAGGACATGGCGCGGCTATTTCGTCGAGCAGATCCTAATATGCCCGAAGCCAAAAAGGTTAGCCACCTCATGCGGGGCATTAAGGAGCAGTTGTTCGCTGGTCTCGTATGAAACCCGCCTACAAGTGTGGATGAATTCTCGAAGGAGGCGACATCTATCGAACACGCACTGCATCTACGTTATCGCCAGTATGACCGCCCAACCCACAGTGCACCGAACAGCGTGGCAGCCTCTACCACAGCAACAACACCCGACGAAGGTTCTTTGCGCCAACTAATACGAGAAATCGTACAAGAAGAGGTCAAGAAACTCGTCGCCAAACCGAATGACTGCGCGATCGCCTCAGTAACGGAAGTTGTACGCCAGGAGATCAGGCAAGCGCTCTCGCTTCCTGAGCCGAACATGGGCACTCCCAGGGCAAGCTATGCAGATGTAGTCCGCGGACAGCCAGCGAACGTGCCGACACCACATCAGTACCACCACCAACATCCGCCGACAGCGCCTTGGTACTACAGAGAAACTTCGATGCCGAAGCGGCCACCACTTCGCAAAACTGACATCTGGCCTACCCCTGATCATAGGCCCCTGTGCTTTCACTGTGGGGAAGCAGGCCACATCGTTCGGTATTGCCCGTATCGCGCCGCAGGGTACCAAGGGTTTCTTTCTAGGGTTCCTCGGTGCCATTTCAACGGAACACCTGACGTCGACACGAGTGTCATGACCCCGCGGGATGTTCCTCCTGGGTTTCGGTCACGCTCATCCTCTCCTGGGCGTTATTCTCCATCCTCTAGACGGAGCACCACTGACATGCCAAGAGGGAGATCTCCTAGTCCACGCCGGGGAAACTAAAAGCAGCGACCTCAGGGGAGAAGGTTGCGAATCGTCGAAGTGCTGAAAATCCCCCATTACTGCCGAGCGAAGAGAGACACATTTTCAATGAATTGACGAAAGATGGGGTTGTTACTGCCGAAGTTGCAATTACGATTGACGTACATGACGTCATGGCATTGGTCGACACTGGCGCGGACTTCTCAATAATGAGTGAGAGTCTGGCAGACACGCTCAGGAAGGTTACAATGGAATGGACAGGACCGCAGATTAGAGGAGTTGGAGGGCAGCTACTCACACCTACGGGAAAGTGCACCGCAAGAATGAAGATAGGGAATGCATCATTCGTCGCAACTTTTGTTATCCTTTCTGAGTGTTGCAAACAGGCAATCTTGGGGATGGATTTCTTGCGTGAATATGGTGCCATCATCAATATTCCGGACGGTGTACTGATCTTTTCAGCGGATCAAAGCGCAGCGCTACACCGAAAATCCCTACGAGTCATTGACGATGTGACCGTACCTCCGTTACCGTGCCGCCTTGTTTCAGTCACGTGCAGCGAGCAGAATACTGGAGAAGGAATCGCTGAACAAGTACTCACGCTCCTCCTCTCTCGCGGTGTTGCAATTGCCAGAAGTATCGTCAATGTTGTGTGCGGTGAAGCAGAGGTTCTGTTGACGAATTTTACCAACGAGCGACGACACATTACACAAGGCACTACAGTTGCCTACTTCGACGAGATCACCGAAATCCGCGAGTGCTGTGTAGTACAACAGGACGAGCCGCAAGCCACGTCAGCCCCACCACCTATTGACGTAAGCTCGGATTTGTCACCAGCGCAGAGACAGCGTCTAGTAGATCTTCTTCACCAGTTCAAAGACTGTTTTTCATCGACCTCGAGGGTCAGTCAAACGCCACTGACGAAGCATCGGATAATAACGGAGGAGACGGCAAGGCCAATACGACAGAACCCATACCGCGTAGCACCGAAAGAGCGTGAAGCAATCCAGGAACAAGTGAAGAAAATGCTCGATGATGACGTCATCCAGCCGTCAAAAAGTCCTTGGGCATCGCTGGTAGTGCTGGTTAAAAAGAAAGACGGAAGCTTGCGATTTTGTGTCGACTACCGCAAGCTGAACCGTGTGACAAAGAAAGACGTATACCCATTACCGCGCATCGATGATTCACTCGACAAGCTGAGGTATGCACGCTACTTTTCGTCAATGGACCTCAAAAGTGGGTATTGGCAAATTGAGGTCGACGAGCGAGATAGAGAAAAAAACGGCTTTTGTAACGCCTGACGGGCTTTATGAATTTAAAGTCTTGCCATTTGGATTGTGCTCAGCCCCCGCAACATTTCAGAGACTGATGGATACCGTTCTGTCAGGCCTTAAGTGGCAGACATGTCTGGTCTATCTGGACGACGTCATTGTTTTTTCAAAAACATTTGAGGAACACCTGAGCAGGCTGCTATCGGTATTCAGGGCAATAAGATCTGCTGGCCTGACACTGAAACCCGAGAAGTGTCATTTCGGTTTCAAGGAGCTTCAATTTTTAGGCCATGTGGTGAGCCATGAAGGTGTTCGACCTGATCCCGATAAGATTGCGGCCATCAGAAAATTTCCGGTACCAAAAGACAAGAAAGCAGTCAGGCGTTTCCTTGGCCTATGCGCATACTACCGAAGGTTTATTGCCAATTTCTCCCACATAGCCTCGCCGTTAACACGACTCACAAGAGAAGAAGACGTTTCGTTCACATGGGGCGACGATCAACAGGTGGCATTTGACGATCTCCGACAACGCCTGCAGACTCCGCCTGTGCTTGCTCACTTAGATGAGGATGCTCCTACCATGGTCCATACAGATGCCAGCAACGTGGCTTTTGGCGCTGTACTCGTCCAGTGGCAAGACTCAGCCGAGCGTGTGATCGCATATGCTAGTAGGACGCTTTCCCGCGCCTAGTCCAACTACTCCACAACGGAAAAAGAGTGTCTTGCTGTCGTATGGGCGGTTATGAAGTTTCGTCCGTACCTCTATGGTCGTTCCTTCCACGTAGTCAGTGACCATCATTCCCTCTGCTGGCTGACCAACTTGAAAGACCCGTCTGGTCGGCTCGCACGGTGGAGCTTACGCCTTTAAGAGTTTGATATGACGGTCGTGTATAAGTCCGGATGGCAGCACGCCGACGCCGATTGCTCATCAAGGTCACCGATAAAGCGCGACGATGACACAGACAATGAGAGCATGGCGTTTGTAGGAGTCGTTGACACCACTACGATTTCGTGCAAGCAGAAAGAAGACAGTGGGTTGCTTCCTCTTATTGAATTTTTGAATTGCCGGACAACAACCGTCCCTAGAAGATTTGCAAGGAGCTTGCCGGCATTCTGCTTACGTAGTGGTGTTCTCTATAAGAACTTTTCCCCCAGAGGAAGCACCCACCTACTTGTCGTTCCGACGTCACTCCGTGAGGAGATACTTTGTGCTTGCCACGATGAGCCAACGTCTGGTCATCTCGGATACACACGCACATTGGCCAGAATCCAACAGAAATACTACTGGCCAAGACTTCCAGCTATTGTGAAGCATTACGTGCGCACGTGCCTCGATTGCCAACGACGAAAATCGCCACCGTTAAAACCAGCTGGACTATTACAACCAATTCAAGTGCCCACGGTACCTTTTGCCCAAATTGGAATGGATCTCCTTGGACCATATCCGACTTCCCATGCTGGCAACAAGTGGGTAATAGTCGCCACTGATTATCTTACGCGCTATGCGGAAACAAAGGCTTTGTCAAGTGGCACCGCCGTTGAAACCGCACGATTCTTCGTAGAAAATATCGTCCTGAGGCACGGTGCTCCAACAATCATAATAACGGATCGAGGTGCTGCTTTCACGGCCGCGCTCCTGAAGACAGTGGTTGAGCTCAGTGGAACAGCCCATCGGAAAACCACTTCCTATCATCCACAAACCAACGGCTTAACAGAACGCCTCAACAAGACTCTTGCCGACATGTTGAGTATGTACGTTGACGTAGATCACAAGAACTGGGACGACATTCTACCGTACATCACGTTCGCCTATAATACAGCGCAACAAGAAACTACACGAAGAACGCCGTTCAGTGTCCTTCATGGCCGTGAAGTGACGACGATGCTTGACGCCATGTTACTGCACGACTGCAATGACATCGATTTGGACGCTGCATCTTTTAACCAACGAGCAGAAGAAGCGAGGCAGCTTGCGCGCGTCCGAATCACCCAGCAGCAAAATTATGACGCCCAACGTTATAATCTGCGACACCGACATGTCGTCTATCGGGCCGGCGACAAAGTCTGGATATGGAGTCCTATCCGTCGCCGGGGACTGTCCGAAAAATTGCTGAAGAAGTATTTTGGCCCCTACACAGTTTTACAACGCCTGAGCGACGTTAATTACGTGGTCGTTCCTGACAGCCCCTCGACAACTCGCCAGCAAAAACCAGAAATCGTGCACGTTGTGCGAATGAGGCCCTACTTTTCGGACTGATTTACACCATACATCTACTCCACCGTCTTTTGTAGAAGAGCATCGGGACGCTGCTCTCTGGAGGGGGGCAAATGCCACATTGAATATGCAGCGCCAAGAGAACAACGAAGAACACGCGCAGCGAGAGAAGAAGACGAGGTTCTCTTCCGATCAGTTTGCCAGTGTTCTGGTACAATTAAAGTGCGTTTCCTGGATTCGACTGCTGCTGTTTCTGCATTGTGAGAATAGAACATTCATCCTTTTTACAGCAAGCCAGTAAGAACCGAAGAAAAAAATCATGTCGGTTATTTACTTGTAAATTGTCGCATTTACACCGGCTAAGATTGTACATAACAATATGAAACGTCTGAGCACTATTTCTCAACCTTACTTATTTCGTTTGTCTCCGGAGTGTAATAGGCATTGGCCTCTTCAGTGGCAGCGACGCTCCATCTGAAACAGAAAAAAAAAGGAACTTCGAGTACGCTTGAGCTTCGTCTCAAAGAGGCACAATAGCGTATAATTGGGTCCCGTCTACATTGCCTTCAACCATGCTGCAAGAAAAGGAACGTTTGTGGGCGTAACATTGGCAGTTTCAACCTATACGTACAGTTTCGTAGTGCGCCTTTCGCCCTAATTATTCCCTTCGCTAATTGCAATAGTACACACTACTTGCAAGTTACGCACCACGTGCGCGTGCGTAGCTTCACGCTTTCTAATGAGTGCGCTGCAGTAAACCACCCACCCGTTGTGCAATTCACATGTTTGCGCACCTGGTGCGATTCTAGGAACATACCGCGCGATATTACAAACGTAAACGACTCTTTTCAGTGCATGGTATTCATAATTTTATTGCGATAGCAATTATATGTACACTATCAGCTACACTTAGCCGCTGGTGTTGATGTCATGCACCGTATACGTATACGTATCCATATATATGAAGACGTAAAAAAGACACCCAGAAAGAGACTCCGGCGCGCAGAATCGAACTTGGGACCTCCTAGTCGTGAATGCGAGGCGTTAACCACTAAACCACCGAGAAGTACCTCCAGCAACGTTCAAACGGCTAGCTGTTTATATCTACCACTTACCGCAGTTGGCGGGTATCTCCGGGGGGATGGGGAGGGGGACTATCGCGTTTTCATCATCAGCAAGATGGCGCAACGAGCGGGCGGCGGCGCTCGTCATCCACGCGTAGTTTTTTTTTTCTAAGCCACTTGTAACAATGACGAGGCTCTCTTATAGAACGCCTGCTTTATTACGCGCAAGGGCTAGGTTCAATTACCACTTTCAACCGCAAACTTGTAGCAATTTTATTTGCATCTTTTTCGGTTTTTCGGTCATGGTCCAAATGATGTTTCGCTCGCAACCAATGACGTCGACATTAATGCCGAAATCCGGCGAAACGAGCTCTTTGACGCTAGCGCAATAAAAACTATATCCAGGGATGAAAGTCACTCAGCCGTATATTGTTAAGAAGAACAGGCAATCTAACAAAGGAAAGTATGAGATTCTACTTACAGTAATTTTGATATAAATAGAGAGAACTTACTCAGTGTCCTCAAAAATCGCCCTTCTTTAGTTCATTTATATCAAATATTTGGTTACGCGTCTGCAGCAGCCGCATACGGCTGCAGCCTGCTACTCGCCGTCATAGCTGCAAGCGGTGCTGACTCAAACTCTCAGGTTTAAATGCACAGGTATACCTGGTGAAGTGTACGGCAGGACGACCGCAGCCGTGCATCAGCTGGTGGAGCATCGGACGCGTTATTCGGAGGTCGCTGGTTCGGCCCCTACTGGTGGCACGTTGGCTTCTAATCCACTTCAGTTTCTTCATCATTACATCTTTATTGCTATATACGACATTCCCTCTATATTCACTGACTTGGACTGTCTGTCAGCTCTCATTGGCGTTGTGTCCAACAAAGCAAAAACACTAATCCCTGAAGAGTTCTTTCGTTGAGCCGTGTGATGTAACTTGGTATTTACTACCGCCACGCACCCAAAGCTGCATAATTATCCGCCTTGAGTTAATACAGCGTCGTACCGGAACAAATTGTTACGATGCAGTTCCGACGTTGTGTGCATGCTTAAGTGACTTTACCTACTGGTGCGTGAGATCGAGTGTGTCGCCCAAATTTGTAGCATTTTAGGGGTACGTACGTTCGTCATAGTCTAATGGGCAGATTGTTCTACGATGACGTGATAAATGGCTGGAGGACACTCTGTAGCGACGAAGATAGTGCCGTAGATAAACTTCCCAAGTGAAAACTTACTCGTCTTTGTTTTGTACTGGCTGACGCAGTTGCCGCAGAAGTTTGACGTACGCTGTTCGCTGAAATCTTTCGGAGATCTCGACAAACTCTTCATTTCTGTTAATCACGCCAACCTGAAATAAAAAAATTTCTAAACAATGACTCTTCTAGTAGTTCTACGTGATACAGCCCGTGGGGCGCTTGCGAAAGTATCAAGCCGACTGGGCTCGCTTTGGGGAAGCGAGTCTAGGACAGTGTTCATTGCAGCAGTGAGTAGAAAACTTTCAGAATAATATTTGTACAACAAAAACACGAGCAAAAAAGCCAGCAATTTCCAGCGTAAACTTGCGCCTGAGTATCGCTTCAAGCGCCCTTTTTCGCGCACGTCATGTTTTTAATAAAGTGAGCGTTTGCACAGAAGGTACGGGTTAAGTAACTAACACAACACCACTTCAGATTTGACTGCTGTTCGGCTGTTCCCGACATGGTTACGTTATACACAAAGGGCTATAGATATCGCTGGTCACTCACCTCATCGTACTTATTGTTGATGTAATCATCATTGAGGTAGGTGTCTGGATAGGCAACTCTAGAGGTCATCTTCCACAACTGAAATAAAGCCAAGATAAACAAAGGCAAGAGCTTGTTTTTCAACCTCCTGATCCCAAGCATAATCGTCGTGGAGCATTAGTGCATGCTTAAGGCGTTAATCCAAGAAATGTATTCTGTATTTTATTCACCGATACTGCTGTCTTATACTTAAGATATTACAGGAGTGCTTACAAGGAACGTAGAACGAAAGAACAAATATTGAAAATATCCAAATACATAATTGGACCCTGGCTTTACAAACTGGGAATCGTGGCAATACATGGAGCCTCTGGGTATATTATATGGCCACGAACTTTTATGTATGTGAGCTAGACACGAAGGTTATCCCGATGGCTTAAGGAACACCAACGCGACGTGCCTTATAAGTCACATGACAAAAGTCATTGATGAGCATGTGCATTAACGTAATCGCTTCATTGACTAGAATAACGCCGCTGTTGTCGGCAAGGAAAATAGCGCATCATCCCACCTGCTCCTAGAATCTCTAATCATTCAGTCTACCTAGCTACATTGAACAGGTCAACGGGGACTGGGCCTGTCATTTACGCGCGCTCGTTGCGTCACCTACGTGATTGACAGCAACCTATGGTCCAGCAAAGTGAACAAGTAACTCGTATACTGTTGAGAAACGTCGGATAATTTCTTTAAATAGTAGCTCTAGTGGATTAGCGGAGGCTGATTAGCTAATTTAGCTGGCATATGTGGCATTTGTTGGTCGCTTCTGTGAAGCTTTAAGCCCGACGGTGTTACAGAGGCGAAAGTGTTCCTGAGGCTGTTAAGTCCCGAATATTGCACCCTAGTTTGCTTGAATCTGTCAGAGATAACCGTCATACAATGATACGTTAAAACTACACGAAGGCTTAGACGAATTGGTACGTGCAATGGATTAGCATTGAATGAAAAGCTCTAGATTGGGATGTAGTAGGATGTAATAGAATGTAATACGACGGAATAAAATGAATTCGAATGGAACAGATAGGTATGCATATTATTGAGATGGAATGAATTCTGGTGAAATCAATTGAATGGAATTTATTCGCAACAAGGTTGTGAGGATGACCAGGCGAAAAAAAAAAACTGCTTTGGGCAGCTTGAGAGGAACCTGCCCACCTTATACAATGAGCAGTTAGTGGTTGAACAAAAGCATGTCTTATACACAATGTACAAAGAAAACAGTAAAAATAGTAGACAACCATAAGAAATGGAATCATTATGCTGTCGTTCGATTATATCGAATTCATGCTGCAATTCATGCTATGATTCATAATAAATGAAAAAAATTGACAGAGCCACTGTAAGTCAACGGTGTGCACGTTAGTGTATTTCAGCAATATGTGAAGAAAAAAGTACACAAGTGGAGAGGTACCTTTTCTCTGGCTTTTCTACGTGTCTGGCGATCCATCCAGTTGACGTGCTGCAGTCGATCGTAATAGGACATGCCTATCTGATGGACAATACGCTGTGCCTTAAAAACAAAAGAAAAAGAAGAAAGCATTGGTATAACATTACATGCAATAGCTCCTGGGACTATCTTTATTTATCGAGCAGCAGCTCATGCATTGTATGCCTCTGAAACTGTCGCATGACATCGACACTTCATTTGTCAGAATCGCGTATCTCCCCGAGTGGAATGTCAAAATCTGTTCTATAGCGAAAAGTAACTCGTCTGGAAATTTCGTCGTGGTATCGCCAACTGCTCATTTTTCTTTTCAACAACCATTTCGATCTTTTAGGCTTGTGGGTTAATTAGAGACCTTCATTTGCACTTATAAATGCGTAATAAAGCTGGCGTCATCATGAAAGAGGCTCCAACATATAGGAGAGGTATACCGTTTATGATTTTTTGGTTGGTTTTCGTTACTCCTTGGTCTTTGTCATTTTGGCAAGAGCTATAAAAAGCTGCAGGTTGGTGCTATTTTTTCTTTTTTTTTCTTTGTAGGTGCATATTTTTTACTAATTGAATAGCTGTACCAATGTGTGCGCAGATGCGTCACAACTGCGCAACCTAAAGGGGGCGCAACATCGGATTCGTAGGCGCATGTTTTTGGCTTAGGGCGCTGAAGGGATACCACGCCGTCACATTTGTATGTTCTTTAAAATGGCATCAAACGACTCGTTAACAAAAACTGTACACATTTAGTATTTCAGAACTCTTAAGTTAGGCTAACACTTCACACACCTAAAAAGAAAAAAAAAACCAAGTTTCACATGATAATGCGTCCTCAGCCCATGCACTGACAATTTTCTTCTCTCTTTCCATTCTCTAGCCTCTCTCTTTTATCTTTAGACTGTCCTTCTTTCTCCCATTCTCCCAGCGTAGGGTAGCAAACCGGGCATGTCCCTGGTTCGCGTCCCTGCCTTCTCTTCTGTTGCCAAGTCCTGCGGCCGACACCGTCGTCATTTTCAGATATAATAGTTTCATTACTCAGTCGTCCACCAGGAAGTGTATCCTCTTACACGATTTTTAAGCAATATTCTTACGTTTTAACTTGGTCTGAAGGAGTGATATTTTCACACGAAATGTGCGACACTGATAGCGATAGCAATCTATCTACAGGTAGTAAGAAGGTTTACAGTTTTATTGGCCCCAAGGCAATCCCTTATTGATTAAGCACGAACATATCTTGCTCGATGAAACGCGAACGCCTTAACAACGCTAGCGTGATGAAGTGCAGTAAGCATGAGTGTAAGCGGTGTCCATCACAAGCGAGTATCGAATGCATGAATTTAGGCAGTTGGCGCGCTCACCTCATGCTTCGCCTCTTTCGTGAGCCTGTGCTCCGTGTACAGTCGTCCGACGGCGTCCTTCATGATTCGCTCGACGGCCGACACGCACTGCTTCCAGCGGGGCGCTTCCGTCTGGACACCCAGCGCCATGTGACGCAGGGTCCCCACCAGCGAGGCAAAATCTTTGGAGGCAAACGGAAGGAGCTCCACGACCTTCACGAAGCCGATGTAGTTGTACACCACCGCCCTGATTGAGGGTAGGATATGAACGCAAATTAGCGGCGTCGTTTTAAGTACGGAACACTCGGCGTAAACAACATGCATCCTATCCACATTGCATTTCGTTTGACACATTTGGAACCCAATGAGGTGTGTGCTCCCTTTTGGCGCCAAATCGGCCCTCTGGGTCGGTTCCACGGAGCCAGTGCCAGCTGGAGTCCTCAGGAATGACAAAACTTAACCTTTATGCAACCTTAACAGAACTCGAGCTCCACTCTTCGAAATAAATGCACCGACTGCCGAATTTTTCTGGCCCCCTGGCCCACGACACTCCTTCTCCCGTGCGCCATCTGCGTGTCACGACCTCAGGCTCACGATGATAAAGCCGCGGTCCCATTCTTTACATACATCTCTATTAGGAAGTCACTGAAGTGATAGATATGCGGATTACAAGCGGTGACATCTTCAAACAGCACGTGAAAGAGATGACTGAAATTTTGATTGCATAAACCGCAGTTTACTGGCATCTCGCCCGAAGACTTTAGCATAAAGAATGAGCAGTCATATAGGCATTCCCAGCTCAAATAACTTTAAAAGTGCGCCTAATAGAGGTTATTACAAGCTTACGGGGCATGAAAAATCGGCGGACGGTCAACGAACGGATTTCTGATCGTGAAATGAAGCTAGGTACTACAAGTCCCATAATGTCTACGTTGAAGTTGCCAACTACCAACTTAACCTGTCCATCCTTGCCAACTTAAGGATGGACAGGTAAACGGATGGACTGATGGATGCACAGATGGTCGGACAAAGTACGTTCTATTTTATAAGCATATGCGTGCCATAAGAGCGCTATGTACGGCGTAAGTGTAAAAACGGTGTGTCGGTCCGTCGGGAAACTACGAGAACGACGGTGTCAACGTACATAGTGCAGAGCGTAAGGAGCTTCGCTCTTAAGAACGTCTAGGCAGGTTCTGTTCCTCTTGACAGATTTGACATCCAGAACTCACTCGCCTCGCTTTTTAGTTGTTACGGTGCTCGAACAGATGACCCAGAAGTGGCGAGTTTAGGCCTTGGTGACTGCATTTTACGACAGCAGGATGCCGCACGTTAAAGAATCCCTGGTGGTCGAAATTTCCGAAGCCCTCCCCTACGGCGCCTCTCATAATCGTATCGTGGTTGTGGGACGTTAAACCCCACAAATCATCATGACAGCAGGATGCTAAATGCCCGTGGGGCTAGATTTAGGTGCACTTAAAAAAAAAACAGGTTGTGGAAATACTTCAAAACCCTTCACTAGAGTGTCTCCGATAGTCGTATTGTGGTTTTGGCCCGTGAAGTCCCAACCTTCATGATAATGGAAACCAGTACTCACAGGTTGGCTTGGAGGTAAACTTGTACGGTGGCATTTACGTGTCGAATGGCGTTGACGACTATCTTTTCGTTCGTGGGAATTGTGATGTTGACTCTCGCGAATTCGTCCTGTATGAGCCCGTGTAGGTCAATCTGCAAAAAAAAAAAAAAGTGCAGCATGTGTTAGTTTTCTATTCTCTTCGGGTTGAATTGAGGCCTAGTAAACCATTTAATATGAGCTGCAACGTGCTAGCCGTGGTGACAGCGACGCTCATAAACAAAATAAAAATAAAAATAAAATTTTGGAGATGACTTCATTTCAGCTATGCGTATACTTTCTGCTGACGGTTGCGTATTTGGTCGTGAAGAAACAACGCTTCTCCGAAAAATTCGGGTGTCCTTATCACCTTAGCGTCGTGAACGTAGGCGTTCGCGCACTTCTGTGTTGATGGGGTGGGGGTAGTTTCACATCTTCGCCACCCACCCCGTGTGCGCATGTTTACAAGCAATGACACACGCTAATTAGTAGACACGTGAGGCACGACTCGCCTTCCACTCTAAAAGAAAAAAAGTTATTTGACTTTTTGTTTTGCCAGTCCTGATTTCACACGTAGGCGAGTCGCAATTGCCATTTTACTAAAGTGACAAAAAAAACTGCACCAAATTCACTTGAAATTTTTCGCTGAATTCGTAGATCTATCTTTCTTGGAAAAAAATGGCACCATTCTTGCAATTCAATGGAATTACTTTATTTGCCTAATCCCGTAAAAGAAGCATATTTCGAAGGTGGCTTCACCGCATGGCTGTACCATAAAGGTGGTGCAGTGAAGAGGGGACGACGACGAGGCACACGAGCGAGCCATCAAGCCTCAGTGTCAGAAGTAGCACAAGTGGCGAACGCACGTTTGGCCGGATTTCGGCAAATGGTTAAGTAGACACATGAACTCTGGAGATCATTATCTATTCTTAGTGTAGAAAATGAGGACACTTGAACATAAAATAATATCTAAGCGGGTAAGCATTTGATTAATAAGTGTACGGAAGTCAATAGGCCTGGTTCTTTAAAGTAGCACACCTTCTCAGAAAGAGGTAATCGTTAACTGAAAGTGAGAAGCACTCACACCGGTAATTTCTCTCTGAAATTCCTCTATGGTGCCTTTCCGATAATTGCTTCTTGCCCTGCGAGTCTCCTCGGATGATTCTTGCACCTGGAAGGAGCATGGTAGTGCAAATTTAGCATGGCAAAGATAAGAAATTTAACTGCTTTTAGTCTTGTACTAGCATTTTTCCAATGTTACGGTATTTAAGTGTTGAAGGACTGGGCGTCAAACACGGGATCAAGAGAGAGGTCAAGGCGCCCCAAACACCGACTAACAACTGTTGAGGCACACAGTGGTGGGAGCAAAAGCAGGCACGACAAATTGAGACGCTGCTCAAACTTGCCTTCAAGTCTATAGAGTCGTAAGCATTTTGACACGAATGCTCGGACGCGTGACCGAGACTAGTTCGACTGACGACAGCTGTGAAGCGCTGGGCGCTGTAGCCTCGATAAGCTTGGATGGTATGCCGCCACACATGGAAAACATCTCGACAACAGAACCCAAAGCTACGCGATGCTAGCGTCAATCAAACTGTTTTGGGACACGCTACGAAGTGTTCGTTTTAGGCTTGTTGACGACTGCACAATGCGGTAGCGTAATCAGGCCCTGTGCGCATTGCCTTGGCAACTGGTAGCCTCGCCTCGCTTCTTGGTGCATGCCTTAACTATTCCGTGAAAAAACGAACGACTGTACTCGCAGAATTCGTCGTTTCAAACTGTCCGAGAATGTCTACTGTAAGTACAAATGTTCAGTGCTCATCACGCCATATGTGTCCCTGTTAGCTAAGCTAATCAGCTAAGGGCCCAATTCGCGTGCGCAAGGCAGCACGAGAATATATATTTGAGCAGCTTGTAATGGGTGGCTCTTTAAAACACTGTTTTGATGTCTGGCGCGATTCTACGATTCTGCCATGCAATATTACACGCGCTAACGAGAATCCTTCAGCTACATGACAATCATACTGTTGTTGTTGTTTTTTTCTGAATCACCTTTCACCATTAGCGTTGCTTTGTGGTGGAGCACCTTTGCCATGCCGATGGTCTTGGTGGGATTAGCTCTCCAACAGAAGTCCTTTTTATTTACTTTATTTTTTGGGGGGCTTATTGACATTCGCGTTTTTTCCCCTAAGCATTTTAAACCAACTTTGTAGTGTGCCTTGACTTTGTAGTGCAACCCCCCGTTCACCACTCAGACAGCCTGATCTCGGTTCTCACGTGGACCGAAGGTTGTATCATTTGTTTTATTTATCGTTCACGAACAAGTTCACTTTGCGATCGTAAGCAATGATGCCGAAGCCGACAACGTATTTTATGTGAAATGAGCTCTTTTACGCTTTCGCCTAAAAAGGTATGCGCGCGTTCTAAGCAAAAGGCGACACCTGTTAATCCAGCACGCGTAGGGGCCAGCCTGGGAGATGCCCGTTAGATTCACGAGTTTAGCACGCGTAGGGCCAGCCTGGGAGATGCCCGTTAGATTCACGAGTTTGTGTCTGGCGAATGAGCGAGACTATCAGAAACAGTTGCCCCTTGAATAATGACGTCATCTCATGCATCAGATTTGCCCTAACACAATTTTGACTGTAGAGATTGATACCGCGTGAAAGAACAATACATGTTCGAAATTTCCGCAACATTCCACTGCTCTGTTCCTCGTTCAACCCAAGATATTATGTCGTCACAGAGAAAATCCGATGCATTTAAAGAGCGAAGCTGTTAAAACTTTGGGAAACTTATGCCTCGCAAAAAAAAAACAAGTGAAAAAAAAAGAAACGGACCTATTAACCTCATAAATTGGCACACGCTCTCTTCATTGTCTTTACAGAGAAGCCATTTAAGCTGTTTGTAACTTGTGCTTGGTCTTGCAAGGGCTCATAAGTGGACATGCGCCACAGGAAATGGTGGCCGAGCGTCACCACCGCGTACAGGAGGTGCGAGGGTGAAACGAGCACGTGAGAAAGAGAGAAAGAGGAAGAGAAAAATTTACAGAAATCAAGAAAATTAAGACAGAAAATTAAAACACGAAAATATATTGGGAGAGAGTTACAAACATGGAAAGAAGCATGTGCGGAACAGGAACATAGTAGCCGGGAATATTTCGGTACGCGTAACTAAACGGATCTCGCGCGAAAAAAAGAGTCTTGAGCAAGTTGTACTTCAAGATTGATTTGACTCAATTTCAGATACTAAGCTTATTAGCACCTGAGTGAGCGAGAAAAGAAAATGGAGAACGTGAGAAAGAAATGGAAAGATACAAAAAATATACAGAGATAAAAAGAAACAATAGAAAAGAAATAAAAAAAAGAAAGGCCGCCCAGATTCTCTTACTTCAGCTTCGGTGCCACTAACGCGAAGCTGCCATATATATATATATTAGAAAGTGTCAGTGTAGCGTACCGCGTTCAGCGCCGCCATGAAAGACAGCGTCGTGTTGACGTGCGCCCCGAGTTGCTCTTCTGTGGCGTTCGGTCTCAAAAGCCTCGCCGCCGTTCTCGTCACGTCCATGAATGTGCTGGCCAGAGTGCTCGTCGGCTCCGACAGATGGCGTACGAGAGATTCGAGGGTGCTGTCGCTTTTCTGGCCCAGCTGTGGGAAGAAATGCAAGGTCCATAAGGTTCCATAAATTAGTCGAGTTGGCCGAATCGGCACGATCGCCAGTCGAGGGAAACATTTAGTCTGTCGAGAGGAAAAGACACACCCCACGTACGTGACGTAAATAAGAAACTCTGTAGATACGTTTTAGTATGTTTGTTTGTTGACGCAAATAGTCGATACAAATTTTGAACCCGGCAGTGCACATATTAGCAACGGCGACATATGCATCTGTTTTCTCCTGATAAGTCTGTAGGGACCCCTTAGGAAATTTCTTGTCCCGAAAGTGCTTCTTTGTAATCTTATACATATCTTATGCAAAATATTTTCAAAGATGTGCGTAATCATTTATTTATTTATTTTAAATACCTTACATGTCCACATGGGCATTGAGTAAGGGCAGCTTTACAAAAATTTCATACACAAATGGTATAAACCCGAAATTCACACGAAGAAGCAAATTATGATATGCAAGAACAGAGCAATTAATGTAAAACATAGAATTAATACGATCGAAATTCTACAAAAGATGAATGATACAAGAACCAGCGGAAAAGGTGACAATAAAAAGTGAAAAAGAAGTTGCGTTGTATCCTATAAGGTATATAGGATAAAATACCAACAATAATACAAGCGATATAATGATACTTTGCGCGAAAAACAGGGATGAGCAGGAAGACTGCAACTTGTAAGCTATTGCACATGAAACTGCGCAAACACCCGAACAAAAGCACTGATTATCGCGTGCGGCAAGTTAGGCAGAACGTGGTCTGACGGAGATGATGAGAAATACGACGCAAAAGACGTGCACAATCCGATCTTCTAAAATACGTGCTTGAAATGTCAGAACATTCTTACGGGGTGATGCTCTGACCCAAAACGCCTGGCCGTTTATCAGTCATTGGTTTTGCCGGCATTCTACTTTTCTCGAAATCGCTCTCGGTGACATTTTTCAAAAATATACAATACCTTTAAATGTATTCGACAAGTCAATATTCACTGCTAAGTAAATGACGTATAATGACAAATTAGATTTGCGTTAAGGTACGATTTGCGTTAAGGCACGTAAATCGGGGCACTTGACAGATTTCCGCAGTATACAAAGGCAGCCCTGTCGCGCCGTAGGCGGAACTTAGTTTGCGGACGTGGAGCGGACACACCTCGATGTATGCGAGAAGGTGTGTGACCGAGTGTCATTTACACTTTAAAAAAAAAAAGGGAGGGGGGTGCATGGGCTTGATGTGGCACGCTCTGGCTAAGCCACTGCTCTTGGCCACTCAAAATATTTTTTTCTACATTAACTGATCTAACAAACTAGCTATAGCTTATGGAAGCACGAAGTTCAACAAACGTAGATGTTTGAAAAGCTGAAATAACGAACGGTGATCATCGTAATTGCGTGCAAATGTGCAATATTCTCGGGAGTATACTAGTCAGTGACCAGAGCCCTGCCGCGATGGTCTCGTGGCTAAGGTACTCGGCTGCTGACTCGCACGTCGCGGGATCGAATCCCTGCTGCGGCGGCTGCAATTCCGATGAAAGCGAAAAAGTTTTAGGCCCGTGTGCTCAAACTTTAGCGCAAGTTTAAAAAAGCCCAGGTGGTCAAAATTTCGGGAGCCCTCATTTACGGCGTGTCTGATAATCAAATGGTGGCTTTGGGACGTTAATTCCCACATATTATACGTCAGCGACCAGAATAGACTCGCCTGGAGAATGTTGGACGTGAGGTTGTCCATGTCCTTGGCGACATCGACGGCGAACAGGGACGATAAGCCGGTCATACTTATCATATCTTCCAGCTTGCCGATGTCAGCGACGTCTTCGTCGTTCATGACTGGCCATCGACTTAGTCCGTTCGATTCGAGCACGCGTCTCACGGCCCCGAGGCTTTCCATTTCGTCGCTGCCTGTAAGTGAGAGTTAACTTTTAATAATCAAAGAATTGTTTCGACTGCATGCCCCGTATTATTTAAAGCTGCGTGAATAACAGCAGGCAAGCGGGGTAGGGTGAGACAGAAGGTTAGGTGGGTGGATAAGATTAAGGAGTTTGCGGGTATAAATTGGCAGCAGCAAGCACAGGACAGAGTTGAATGGCGGAACATGGGAGAGGCCTTTGTCCTGCAGTGAACGGATTCAGGCTGATGATGATGAACAACAGCAGGAGTTACTCGTCGCAACTGGAAGGTTTATCAGAATTAGCATAAAAAGGAAACTTGTTCTCTTAGACAAGAAAACACACAGGAATGTTTTCTTTTTGAAGTTAATCTAATGAACCTTCCAGTAGCGAGCAAGCATTCCTTGTGTTCACACCTTCGTCCTGTCATTTGCGTTGCTTCAAATAATATAGAGCCATACTAACTTCGCAGCTGTCGACCTTGCTACAATATATTTTTTACGCCCCCAAACCGCGATATGATCATGACAGACGCCATACATAGTGTAGGGCTCCGTAAATTTCGAGCACCCGGGTTTCTTTAAATGGGCGGCGCTAACGTGAAGGAATAAATGAGCACAAATTCGTAAAATATACTCTGGAACCACTAGTGTCGAAATCATATGGTTAGTAGTAGCTAGAAAAACCAGTTCTGGAAGTATAACATTTATATGTTCCGGCGAAATTTTCGACGGTGACATGAGGGATTTGTGTACTTTTCGTTTTCTTTTTTTTTAAATTTTGGTCACACTGCATTAGCGCAACTTCCCGAAACATGGCCTACTAAAACTTCTCCAGAAGATAAAGTAATTCAATTGTGCCGGCCAGTGACTGCTTAGATCCCTGTAAACACCACCAAAGTCTGTTATCATGCAATCAATAATGATGGTATCTCGTTATTGGTTTTTTATCGTGTGCACATTTTATCATTGTTCATTGTATTCATGAATGAACGTACAAAGTTATTTCTATGATTGATTGATGTGCGGGGTTTAACGTCCCAAAACCACCATATGATTGTGAGAGACGCCGTAGTAGAAAACTCCGAAAATTTCAATCACCCGGGGTTCTTTAATGTGCACCCAAATCTGAGCACACGGGCCTACAGCATTTTCGCCTCCATCGAAAATGCAGCCGCCGAAGCCGGGATTCGATCCCGCGACCTGCATTCTACGACATTCTTATATATTTTTGTTTTTTTCTTGCTCGCAGAGTGCTTTATTTGTCAAGAGCTTGAGTTTAAAACCTGCTGCCGTGTACATCGGCACTCGTGCTCTTGCAAGTGGTTTTATCACTGCTTCGAGGGACCCCAAACTGGCTGGAAACTAGATTTTATTTGATTAAGGCATGGTTACTGATGCAGAAACATCAAAAGGGTGACACCCAGCATTTTCTTTTTTCATCACCAAGCGTCTTCTCCCACCAAGCCTACTGTTTTTGGTATCGCGAAAGGGTTGTATGCTAATATAAGAAAAATGTTCTTTAATAGTAGTATGCACTTATACCCATCTCACACGGCAAATATGTCATTTACAGCGAATACCATTTGTTTGCTGTCACACGGGAAACAAAGTGTGATTTGATGAAAATAACATTTTTGGTCATATGAGTTCCCGAAACACATTCGCATTCAATTTTGGACCGAATGAGTATAGTCTCCATGCCAGGGACTTTTAGATGGTGACTTTTATGAAAAGGGGGATACTTTTACGGGGATGATAAACTTATTACTGGTTTGATGACATGATAGCACGTGTGGAAGTTCCGAAAAAATAAAGGTACACTCTCAATTAAAGCGGCTGGATGCCATGTTTAGTTTTTGCTCTGTTGCCGTTGTTGCCTGTATCGCGGGTGATGATCGTTCCATTGCATGTGTTGTGGTTACCGAAGCGGTGACTACGCGAAATCGCTGCCGCCGTCTCATTTCTGCATTCGTGACGCCAGTCGTGCGTCCCGCTTCAGCCGGCTGTACTCTCTCCCGATCGCGCACATCGTCGGCCGTGTTGGTTTTCGAGTGTCGTGCAGCTGTGGCAACAAGTTGCGTAAAACAGCCACGTTTATATTCTATATAGGAGCGCCTTTTTACCCACGAAAATTATTTTTGTGGGTACACCCATGTTGCATGCACGTTTCTGTATTTCTCCACAAATCCGTGGCTCAGAAAGGCTATAAGGTCATGGTCATCATTTCAAAATGACATTTGTTTTCGTCGTGTGACAGCATGCAGGCGAATTGACATTAGGTTACCTTAATCTCATTCGTTATAAATGGCGTTAAGCTTGCCGTGTGACAGGGGGGGGGGGGGGTATTAATAGCAACATCGCAGACATGCACAATCCTGCTTCCATCAAAATGCGGCCGCCGGGGCTGAGGTGTGATCCGATACGCGTCGTGTCAATAGTTGAGCAACCAGGATTACTGGGACATTGTGGCGGATACAGTGAAGTTCTTTTATGAACGTTTCTAACTCAAAGCATGCTGCGACGTAACAAGGAACGCGCGAAAACGCCCAGTGTGCGAGGCGTGAAATGGTGACGTCAAGATAAGATTTAGCGTACAGTTCACTTACCGCTCATCATGCAAGCGTGATATGCGACGGCTGCTTTTTCTCTGGCCGTCCTGGCTTCTTGCACAACGGGAAGGGATTCCAGTATCTCTGTCGATAGCGTGAAATCCAATAAAAAAAGAGAACGATATAAACAGTTGAAGATGCATGAATGAGGCTTCCTCTGACACGCTGATAAATGTAATGTTAAAGCTCATAAGTCAGACCTGCGTGCAAAGGGTGAGTGTATGTAGGGGGGGGGGAGGAAGGTAGCAGGCGAAGTTAGTTGATTACTGTATAGGCATACAGTATCTCTAACAGACTGGATAGGTAGGCGCCATCTAGCGGGGTCAAAATGAACCAAGCAATCACAAAATTGTTTTTGCAGAAACATTTTACATCGTATGTCTGGTGTAAAAATCACGCTGTTACTTCGAATGAGTTAACGTTTCAATCATTTTCAGCTCATTTAGTGAGTTTAACGTTCCTAAACCACCATATAATTGAGACGCCGTAGTGGAAGTCTGCGGAAATTTTGACCACCTGGGATTCTCTAACGTGCGGCTAAATCTAAGCACACTGGCCTCAAGCATTTTCGCTACCTATAAAAAATATATACCGCCTCACTGAAGCAGTGCAATATTGCTCAGCGGGCGTGAATAAGTCTGCTGCACGCCGTCCCCGCCGGAACATTCCACCGTATTTTTCTCCTGCGCGCGTGACAAGTGGCTTCACTGCACAGTCATTAAACATAATGGCGGACCTATGCGCAACTCTGCTTCCGCAGGGAGCCTATACAGTAATTCTAGGCGAAGTAAATCTGCTCGTCTTTTGTCTACGTCTTTGTCTTGTCTCGTTTATCGTGTTTCAGCGTTGCTGAGGTGAAACTTAAGTACAACAGAGCAAACATCAAATCACCGAGCCTATGAGGTTGCGGAATGGAGTTGGATCAATTTTTGGGTGTTTCAGGCCGTATCACTAAATTCTTTTGAGACGCGCCACACATTGGATCTCCAGATTAATATGACCTACGTGGGTGTCTTTATCTAAATCTATCCCTATACGGACATTCTTGATGTTCACCCACGCTTATGTGTGACTGCTTTAGATAGCAATCAAACCCGCGCCTTTACACTTTTAATAGCACAGTGCCATGATGACCGATAAAGCAGCATGACGGGCATTGCAAAAGTCGCATATGATGACGAAATATTTTGTGAAGAGGAGTGATTGGGATCTTGTGTCAAGCCTTCGTACTATGTTGATCTTAACTTGCGTACGTGGTGCGTGCTTGTGGTGGTGATGGGGATGAAGTGAATTTCGGCGAGTTGGTAGGTGTCTACTACGATAGTATATCCCGCATTTGGCAGTGACCTGGTTTATTGCGAGCGCTGCAAAGTATCGCGAGGATTATGTTAGCATCGTTTGTGTTGGTCGCTATGATTTTGCTTACGATGACGATAGTCGTAACTCTTGAACTAGACAAAAGATGGATAGGTATATGTGTAGTGCCTACCTTTCAGATCCTTATTCACTTCGAGCGTGAGCTCTGTGAAGGGGCTCACCAACGGTGAATCTTCGGGAATAGGATGGGCATCTTTCCAGCCATTGCAAACGTATGCGTAAAAATTTTCGCAAGGGTCAGCACTGATGTTTACAGATGCCAAAATGAGGTCAGCTGCAAGAGATCAAAAGTCTCGATAAACGTGTGGGTCAATTTCTCTCACCCGTCACCTTTAAGAGCACTGCATCTCACTACTTCAATCACCGATAGAGAGTACATCTCTCACGTATAGGTATTTATCGAACTAAAATATCTGGGGCATCAAGAACAAAAATGCTAATCGAGAATAACGAATCCGTGTCATTACTCGGCACTCAAAAAATGTTCAGCGTGCTATACCGGGAAAGCACTCTCAAACTACGACAGGTAGATTGCCACTTCCCCTCAAGAGGAAGGTATATAACAGCTGTATCTTGCCGGTACTTAGCTACGGAGCAGAAACCTGGAGACTTACAAAGAGGGTTCAGCTTAAATTGAGGACGACGCAGTGAACAATGGAAGGAAAAATGGTAGGTGTAACCTTAAGAGACAAGAAGAGAGCAGAGTGGATTAGAGAACAAACGGTGGTTAAGGATATCATAGTTGAAATCAAGAAGAGGAAATTAACATAAGCCAGGCATGTAGCGCGTAGACAGGATAACCGCTCCTCATTAAGGGTGGCTAACTGGATTCTCAGAGAAGGCAAGCGGGTAAGGGGGAGACAGGATAGGTGGGCAGGTGAGAATAAGAAGCTTGCAGGTATAAATAGGCAGCAGCAAGCACAGGACCGGGTTTACTGGCGGAACATGGGAGGGGCCTTTGTCCTGCAGTGGACGTAGACAGGCTGATGATCATGATGATGACGACCGGTAAAGTTCCTGCAAGAACTTTCCCGGCACCAGTACCAAGATATCAATATAAGAGCATTGCGTTTCGCGGTCATTGCTTAAATGCACATATATTATGAGCTATTAGGGGCGTAGCTTCTAATAGCTCATATATATATATATATATATTATATATATATATATATATATATATATATATATATATATATATATATATATATATATATATATATATATATATATATATATATATAGTTAGGCTGCCGAACAGGGTGCGCGCGCCTGTCAATCGTGATAACGGAACGGCACGCACTACAATATCGCAAAGGCTTGCCGCTGTCCGGGTTTAATTTGACGCTGATAGTAGGTGACTGCTTATAGTTCCACCTTTGTCGACTGCCCACTACTTTGTCCTTGCAAACATCCCAGTACGGCCCATCACTGATCCACCGCTTCACCGACCATAAAGCAAATACTGTTGAGAAGTAGCCGATATGAAATGCAAGATGGTCGTCTACTTGTATCCAGATGCGCGTTAAATAACCATATATATTCTCCCACAACGTCCATTCCTTGTTTGTGTGTGACCGCTTATAGTTCCACCTTTGCAAATTGCCCACTACTTCGTCCTTGCAAACATCCAACTATGCCCCATCACCGATCCACCTCTTCACCGACCATAAAGCCGTTATAATGAAGGGCAAACGGAAGCGACGTATAGCTACCACTTACAAATTGTAAATTTTCTTGTATAAATATACACAGCATTTGTCATGTCTTTGATGATGTAGGCGGCGATATTCGCGGCTGGTTCAAGGTTTAGCGCACTATAGCATCGCGAAGGCTTGCCGCTGTTTGGGGTTTCATTTGACGCTGATAGCACAATATATACAAGGAATGAACATGCCCACACCTTTAGGAGCTTCGCCCCTAACAGCTCGTAATATATGTCCAAACAGCATTTAAGCAATGACAGTGAAACACAATGCTCTTCTATTGATATCTTCGTACTGCCTCCAGCGCTTTGCCCCACTCATCATCATTTACTCAGTGGATATGCCCTAATTTTTTTCTTGGTGGAATACCCTGCCGCTCATTAGGGATGACTCCTGTAAAACGTTGAGGATATGGCGTGTTTCCATTGAGGCTTTCAAGCGGAAAATGCTGATGCGTTGCTCGAGTAAAAATGCCGGTTTTTGTATTCTTCACCGGGAGTACGGCCTGCCCTTCTGATTTTTCATAAGGGTGCCCCACGTAAGGGAGAACTCGTGTGCTTAGTATTGTGCCTTCAGAAACTCGTCACGGTAGCATTCCTTTTCTAGAGGAAAAGTGTGCTAGCTTTACTATAACTATACTACATCCATTTGGATCTGGCATGTCAATTACTTCTGAGGGTAAAACGCTGGTCTAACCGCGTCACTCGAAAATGCACATTAAGTTGAAGCTTCTTATATTTTGATTGCTTGGTGTAAACAAGCAAGTAAAAATACAATAACCTAGTAAAACTCGTTGCTGGTATACTTGTCACGTGCTTACTGAATTACAAGAAGACGCGTTAGCATCACGGAAAGACTAGAAATGCGACACAAAAGGACGCCCTTTTCTGTTCTGTCTCGAGTCCTTACTTGGTGATTACCAAGGAGGTTTAAAAAAAATTGCTCGAGTAGAAGCACCCGCAATGCTTTGCCAGCAGTAGTCAAGCCAGCTTTTGCCTTCCATGCTTTAAGAAAAATGGTATTTTCTGGTCATGCCCACTTAGACATCAGGTGGCTCTGATTTGTTAGTCTAAAGCCTACGTTAATTAAAAATTAAAAAAATAGTTGTTTCGGAAGAAATAATCCAAAGAAACTAATATCGGTGACTTAACATTCAACAAAATTTGCCTTGATTCGAAGGCTTACTAAGGAAAACTGGTAGCACGAGGACGCACTTTGGGCACTATTCAATGGGTGCCACGCTAAACTCGTTGGGCGTGCGAGGAGAACGCTCTGTCTCAATCGCCCAACGGCAGCAGCTCGACATGCCCCTAGTAAGATGGCTGCCGCCAGCCGCCATCTTACGGTTGGCGCGTCTTCACTCGTGGGCAAGAATTTCCACTCAAACAATTATTTTAAAACCGCCGTGGTGATTACGCGTTTCGCTTGCACATCAGGAAACTCATTAAGCGTATTGACATTAGGTAATCCGTTGTATCAGATAGGCTTGACGAAGAAATTGCTTCCGATTGAAACACATTTCTCAATGTTGGTCCGTCGGAATGGCGGACACAATCACGGCCTGCTGTGTTTGGTGACAAGGCTCTGGCGTACGTACTTACCCCTCGCTTTGCAGGCGGGGCTCTCACACACAGATGTAGACTCGGAGCCTGCAATAGGATTCAAATGTTAATTTCTCACTGCCACCACTGATACTCAATGAATTCTTGAGATAACGAAATGAATACCTACGTCGCCTCGGGAACAGGTTATTATTGATTGCATTGGTGGCGCACGCCGTAAGAAGTATGATGAGTCGACAGCCTCTCATCGCGATCTGTGGGTTTGAACGTAAATGTACTAGTTATGGAAGGCACAAAAACGAACTGCGTAAATCTGCTTCACAGAAAATTACGATTAAATACAGCATTGAACATTTAAATGAGAAAAAGGAAAACGCAGTGAAAGCAACCCCGTTGATGTGGTTCAACTGCGATCAAAAAGAAACGGCATCCACTCATGGGGGTGATTCCAGTGCACGTGTCGTAATATGAAATATATAAAGCACGCGGTGACAACCACAAAGAACACTAACGTCAAGCTCGATTTTACGCCGTTTTAAGAGAATGTTGCGTTTTTTTAGCCCGAAGTGAAGTGCTCAATTTCCAATCTATCAATTAGCAGAAACGAAATACGTATTCACTGATTAAGGGGCCTTATGCATGTGCCTTCACAAAAGAAGGAGCCCTGACACTTTAGATTAATCCGGAACACACAACTGCAGTGTTTTTCCAAGGAATTTGGGTGGTCTTGATCGCGAAATTAAATAAAATGAATGGCTGACCTTAATTCATAGATCAATCAGTCAACAATAGGCTTTTCTCGCATAATATTTGCAGTTAGCTGCCATCTAAAGAACAACCACTTGAGTTTAACAGCATGGAATGAAAGAAATTAGAAATCGTTTTATCTCGTGTTTTCGAAATTTCTTCCTTTTCGCAGTCAAACTAAAACAAAACTTACCTCGTCTGAGACGACGAAATTTTGTTCTAAGGATAGCGAATTTTAACAAAAAATGAAATATATTTAAATTGAATCAGACAGTTGACGTGAAACAGTTATACAGCCGTACCTGCTCAGGCAACGTGAGGTCCGACTCGCATTGCTGTCACACCCTAACAACGCTCGCTCACTTGTGCGTCGTCGGTAACTGTGTTTCTCTTAGTTTTCTTTCTTCGCTCACCACTTTGTTCCCGGGAAGAAACTTGAGGAGCTTGCATATATGCGACCACAGAAACGTGCCTTACAAGAAGTATTTTCGCTGGCACGACGCGAAACGTGATAACGCCCAAGTACAGCTCGGAACCGACATGACTGTTAAGTCAGGTGCGAACGTTATCGGACACTGCACCTCGCTACAAGCCTCTCGGATTGCACATTGGGAAAGCCGCAAACAACAAACAACAACAAGCAGTCACGCGCGGTGATGCAACCTATGTGGTCATGACAATGACTGACTTTTTTTTCGCATCAATACAGTGAATGATACGAAGAGAGGAGGTGGGGGTGGAAAAAGCTGTCGTCCAGACAGAATTTTACTGGGGCTGGCACCCAGTGGACCTGGATTCGAGCCCCAATGTGTCATTGGTGCTAGGTTTTTTTTCCTAATTTCATTGGTGCCAAACTCGAAAAACGAGAGGTGAAATTGGACATCGTGTTACGTAACGTAGGAGATTTCATAATTGCGCCCAGTCGGCGCCGAGAGTAGATCGGCCCTTCTCCCGGCAAAAAAAAAGGAAAAAAAAATGCAGCAGACCCCACGTAACTGGGAATCGACGTTATGCGAATCATGAGGAGGGAAGGTGGAGGGAAGCAACACGTCATGAAATGACGCTAAATGTGTGTACAAATGTTGCAAGCACTGACATGCGTTGAAGAGTTGCAGATGTTTATATAACCAGTTGTTTGTACTTGCGCAATGATGTCAATTGGAACATGCGTATTAGCAACACCAGAAGCTGAAATGAAGCGCTGATGCTCGCGAAGATGCTGGCCCTGGACACTGCTACGTAAATCAACGTCAGCGCATGGCATCTAACCACAATTGACGTTAACATGACGTGACGGGAATTTTTATAAAATTAGGTACGCAGCACTGCAAGCACTATTCACATATTCCGAAGATTAGCGCCTATTTGAAAAGTAGTTCCGAGACCTGGCGTAGTTCTGTGGTAGTATGCTTGGCTGCAATGCAGATTGCTTGGGCTTGATTCCTGCTGGAACCCCGAAATTTATTATTTGCATTCATTGCGGGGTCAACGCTGCTTATGTCAGGGTTTTCTTAACACTGACATTTACTCTATGCCTTCACTGGGTCGACGCTACCGGTCTCGGGTATTGCTTTAGGCTCACACGTTAAAATTGCCAATGTGTGCCCTCGTCGTTCCTGGGTAGATACTAAGTGTCAATCACCTGTGGCACATACCCGCATACCAGCGGCACATGCCCCCCCGTGGGTATGTGCCACTGTCTGGCGGGAAGTGTTTGACGACGTAGGTGACGGGATTGTGACATTATTTATGCCTTGACCAGCGCGTCATATTCGTCAAACCATTATACCCTCCGATACTAATTTTGGTTCACGCCAACTTAAGGGGGAGATCACCAGAGTACCGAGACGTAAGCGGATAGATATAGATAGATATAGATAGATATAGATATAGATAGATATAGATATAGATAAATAGAGATAGATAGATAGAGATAGATAGATAGACAGAGAGAGACAGACAGATAGACAGAGAGAGACAGACGAGAGAGACAGACGAGAGAGACAGACGAGAGAGACAGACGAGAGAGACAGACGAGAGAGACAGACGAGAGAGACAGACGAGAGAGACAGACGAGAGAGACAGACGAGAGAGACAGGCAGAGAAAGACAGGCAGAGAGAGACAGGCAGAGAGAGACAGGCAGAGAGAGACAGGCAGAGAGAGACAGGCAGAGAGAGACAGGCAGAGAGAGACAGGCAGAGAGAGACAGGCAGAGAGAGACAGGCAGAGAGAGACGGACAGAGAGACGGACAGAGAGACGGACAGAGAGACGGACAGAGAGACGGACAGAGAGACGGACAGAGAGACGGACAGAGAGACGGACAGAGAGACGGACAGATAGATTGATAGATAGATTGATAGATAGATTGATAGATAGATTGATAGATAGATTGATAGATAGATTGATAGATAGATTGATAGATTGATTGATAGATTGATTGATAGATTGATAGATTGATTGATAGATTGATAGATAGATTGATAGATAGATTGATTGATAGATTGATTGATAGATTGATTGATAGATTGATAGATAGATTGATAGATAGATTGATAGATAGATTGATAGATAGATTGATAGATAGATCGATAGATAGATTGATAGATAGATCGATAGATAGATAGATAGATTCAAGAACTTTCCAGATTTGCGCCGTACTTTGGCTAAATCCCCACCATAATACCAAATTACTTCTGCATAAAACGTTGATTCTCCCTATTCTAGAATACACATGTCGTTTGGTACTCTCACAAACAAGGTGACCTAAAAATCCTTGATAGCGTTCAACGTAAGGCCACGTGCTTCATATGCTGTAACTACAGCCACAACTTCTCACCAACACAGGCTCTGCAATCAGTGAACATTGTACCATTACATTCTCGTTATTGCATCGAATCTTTAAAATTATTATATACAGCCATCAACTCCTCTCCTGGCATCTTTGGTGGTAACTACGTCGCATTTATGGAAGAATCTTCCACCCGCAGCTCCCACATCTTGAACGTAAAGCCTTTCTTTGCTCGTATTAACACATTCAAATTTAGTTTTTTCCCACGTACTATAGACCTCTGGAATTCCCTACCGGGCAGTATTCGTTTACTATCATTACAAAATTTCATTGATGCCGCTATTGCCCATTTAGAAAATAGGTAAAGATCGTGTTTGCAACACCATAGTTATGTTTTCTTATGTATTGCAATGTACTTCAATTTTATTGTTGTTTTACTGTTGTTGCTCTATTTGTATTAGTTTTGTACAACTCATCCACTCCTGCTATAGCCCTGCATTAGGGCTGCAGTATATTCAAATAAATAAATAAATAAATAAAATGAATAAAAAATGTTTACCTTGGAAAGGAATGTGGAAAGTTCGGGAGGTGCAGGACAGGAATAGTTTATTTATTGCCCATAACTTGCGGTCGTGTATTTATAGGTCAAACTGGTTGGTGCTTTACGCTCGCCCTAATGAACATTTGAAATCTTTGGAAAAATAGCATTCTTTCCCACCTAGCCGAGCATTGCAACAGCTGTCAATGTTATCCTGTTTGGTATTGCACGATGGTTTTGTTTTTTCACAAAGGCAAGCTAACTCGCGAATTATAAGTGTTTCATATCGGAAGGTTTGCTGATAAATGCGTAAGCAGCCGATCCCTTGCACTGACAAGGAGCTCAGCTTTTTGAGCCGTACTTTACTTTCACATTCTGCTGCACGTTGTAGATACCACTTATGTAAAAGTGAGTGTCATGGTGTGTTACCGTTCTTTCTTTTCTCTTTCTTTTGCTTTGCTTTTGTTTTTTTTTTTGCGCACATGCGGTTTTGAGATACCCTGAGGCATATATTTCGTGTATATTCTTTCAATAAACCGAGTTGAGTTTGCGCTTGTTTGTCTCCTCGCCTTCCGTTTTCCCGTCCACCGTGTGTGCGCCGAAACTTTATACCAAGAATGTCTTCAAACCAACTCGTCCAATTTTCTATCCTGTTACATTCAAAATCTAGATGGGAGCCGACAGATGGAAACACGTATAGTGGGATGATCGGGTTGAACAGTGAAAGTGCCTCAGACAGGCTGGCCGACGTTTCAATAGGAGGACCTATATTTGTCAAAGGCGCCATGTTATCGTTAAGGTGTTAGTTTTAAGGGGGTTGGTAGTGATGTCACTACCAACCCTCTTAAAACTAACACCTTAACGATAACATGGCGCCTTTGACAAAGATAGACATTACTAATCCCCTTGAAACTAACACGGCAAGTATTACACGGCACCTTTGACAAAGATAGGTCCTCCTATCGAAACGTCGGCCAGCCTGTCTGGGGCATTTCCACTGTTCACTCTGGCTATCCTATTCTGTTGCATTATATCTCTAGTACCGTGGGCTCTTATGTGTTATAACTCTACCCTTGCTACCCCAGTGGACGTGGCTTCAAGAATAGCAGTGTGCGCATGCAAGGCAAGGGTGGCCTCGTGACTGCTCTCCATTCGATGTGCCCAACGGATGTTCAAGCAATGTGCGGCTTTTTGAAACTTTTGGTCAGTCACGGTGGAACAATCTGCAGATTTGTGGCCACTGAATCGTGGAGGCAAGCACGCTTTCACAAAGAATGTTTACGCGTAATCTGTCACTAATGATGCGTTCACTCATCTGGCAGACGTGTGCTTTTATAGACTGCTGCACGACATCAGACAGGACCACTGAGTGGCTCTGGAACACCGCTCGACCAAACCTGCCGACTAACGAGAAGGCTCCAAGTGCCGAAGGAAGACTAGTTCGTTCGTCGGGAACTACGTTTTACCGGAAACTGATGAAGCTTTGCTGAAACTTGGACTGAAATTTGCGGTTGAAGCAGTCTTGAACCCACCGGAAAAGTTGTCTGCCTCGACAGCCATTTCTAGTCTAGTCACCGAAGATGAACGCTCAAGGTGGGTATCTGAATGTGTTGATTTAATAGCTAAGACGAGGACTGTAAGGAGGACTGTAAGGAGCACTGCCAAAAAAGTAGATTTAGTTGCCTCTGATGTTTTGTCGAGGGGTTTGTGCGTTGTCACGGCGGACAAAGAGGGTTGCTTCGTGTTAATAACGGATGGTGTCATAAGTGAAAACAAATAAAGATGTTACCAAAAATTTCAAAAGAATTGATGGAAAACCCCAAAACGTTAAGCAACAAACTGTGCCTTGTTTTAGATTCGCTTAACCTGGGAAGCTTGGTTTCAGCAGTCAAAAGAGCAAAGAGCGTGCAATTAGAAGTATTCTTTTCTTGTAAAACCCACAAGCCAGATGAACAGTCTCGAGCGATAGTCTCTGAAATAAATACGTTGGAATTGCAAGTACCTTACTATCTTCAAAAAACATATTTCAACGTTGAACATTTGTGACCCGCAAGTAGTACCTAATTCGGACGTTGTAGTTAATTCGGACGTTGTAGAAAACCAGGGAAGTTGAAGTGCCTTCAGTGTTGACGAGCAAGACCATTACCATTTTATCCCCTACACGGAACTAATGAAAAATGTCAGGCCATGCATCTGTGATGATAATCATGAAGTAAAATTTGCGATTGAGACCGGGTTATCTGTTGCTAATTTTTGGAAATCTTGACCTTTTACTTGAAATATACATTTGTTGGATGGCAGAGAGATGTTTGTCCAGAATTTAGGGGTCAGCGTTGGCTCAAAGGTCGCCCCTGTTCTCAGCCATATTTTGTTGGACGGAATACACTGGAATATTCATGAAGGATTGCTTGGTCTGGCCAAAAATTTGTTTTTTTGGTTCGTTGATGATTTTGCAAGTTTGTAATGTTGTAAATGTTTTGAAAGTGTTCAGGGAACATGGAATGAGCCTTAAGTTCACACATGAGGTTGCCCATAATAACCAGTAGCAGTTTCTGGATTTAACACCCCAGCTACAGTCAACATACATGGGTCGGTTGTATAATCCTAGGACAGTAAAATCACTTCTCAACTTCACATGAGGCCATTCCAAGATTGTAAAAAAAAAACGGAATAGCTGTGTCTTGTCTAAGGAGTGCCGTGTCGAAGTCATGTATTCATGAAATGAATTGGGCATATTCATGTCAAAGCAACCGTATAAAATGGCTGCATACCCAGAAAATGTTATAAGCAGAGCCGTCGAAAAGATTAGGATTTTAAAGCGTAGACCAGAGCACGCGTCTGCGATGAAAGACTATGAAAACACTTTGCTATTTTACCTTGCGTTCATCGGTTTTCACATGAGCTCAAGCATATCAGCATTGTGTTGGTTTTGAGGATGTTTTTAGTGCACCTAATATGATTCAACGCATTTGTCGTGAGGAGGGCCAAAAGATTGACTAAGTTAAGAAAAATTGTTCTTCACTTCAGACGAATGTGGAAAGTTCGTGAGGTGCAGGACAGTGGTAGTTTATTTATTTTCTCTGACTTGCGGTCGTGTATATATAGGTCAGATTTTCCAATGCATTAACATTCGAAATTTCCGAATCTTTGGGAACTAGTATTCATTCCCACCTAACCGAGCATCGTAGCAGCTGCCAATATTGTTCTGTTTGGCGAAAGCCAATCGTGTTGTTCTTTCACAAAAACAAGCTAACCCGGAAATTACTAGAAGCGTTTCGTATCAGATGGCGTGCTGACAAATGCGTAAGCAGCCCATCCATTGCACTAACAAGGAGTTCACCTTTTTGAGAAATATTTTACTTTCAGATTCTGCTGCACGATTTAGATACTACTTATGTAAAAATTAGTGTTATGTTAGTGCTATAATTCTTTCTTTTCTCCTTCTATTGCTTTTCTTTTGTTCTTTACGCACATGCGCTTTTTAGTTACCCTGGGGTACATATTTCTTGTATATCTTTCAATAAACAGAGCTTTGGTTCACGCTTGTTTTTCTTCTCGCCTTCCGTGTTCCCATCCACTGTGCGCGCGCCAAAACGTTACCAAGATTGTCTTCAAACCAACTCGCCCAACTTCCCATCCTGTGACACGGGAAGATAGCTTTGACTTCCGACTGAGGTGGATGCATTGCCGCTTTTCTAGATGGCACCAAGTGAATGAAATAGGCCTGAGCAGGCCATGTAATATGTAGGACTGACAATAGGACAGTAAGCGCGTTAGAACGGTCACTGAAGGACAGGAAACGTAGTTGAAGAAGGAATAGATCTAAAATTAGTAAGTTAGCAGCGATAAAATGTAATTATCTCGCACTGGGTAGGATAAACTCGAGATCGGGAGAAACCTTCATCCTGCAGCACATCCAAAGAAGGTGGTGGCGAGATGCGTTCCGAAGAAAGGTCACCGTTGAATTCAGTTAATGGATGCGAGAGAATCGCAGCTGTCGCCGATTCAGAGGTTCAGCCTCCAGAGAGTGATATGTCTACTCACTGACTTTCTTTGTATTCTAAATCATCACCTTGTCCGTTGCGGCGAGCCTGTCCAAGCTCCAAAGACGGTTGTCTGAACATCCCGTCTTGTAAACAGTGAGTCAGGTCACTGTCCCTGTCTACATTTTGATAATCAATTCCCTACAAGTAAAGTCCACCGAGCATGACAGAGGCTTAAAACCCGCGTGGTCGACAAGCATGATTGTTAGATGTAAAAGGAAGCGAGCTCGTGTAGATTCATTGGGGTTGACAGCGCGAAAACAGGGAAATGAACTAAGTGGACATGGTGCAGCACCGACTTTCGACTAGATTTTTTAATGAATTTTGTATGTTCCTTTTTTCTTGAAAATTTCAGTTGAGTCACGCGTGGTGCTGTATGGACTTAGTCTATTTCTTTACTTTCACACTGTTTGCCACAATGAAACATAAGAGTAACAGGCTACGTCAGGGGGGAACGGGAGTGGGATATAAGGGAATGAAACGATCAATAATTGATTGGTCTACGATGCCGGTTTTGTGACATCGCGCATAGTTTGATTCCTTTCTCAGTGAACTTACCGGTCGTATTTTGCAGGAATGAGTTTTCAACGGTGTGACCACGAGCAATCCATCACTGTCGAAATCGCGGTTTAGGTCTCCAGCTGAGTTATTGAGGTGTGGTTTTCTGTCCGCTTCCTTGCCGTGTAATTTCTTGCCGCTTTCTTGCCGTGGTTGACGTGGAAATATCATTCGTGACTTTTTTTTTTCCTGCCAAGATGCTGCTGACAGGCCGTGCATACTTGCCGCACATCGTAGGGCGATCGTTTGGTTTTTATATAGGAATAAAACGTGAAGCAGCCCTAGCAGTTTTTTTTTTGTTTGGTCGCACCTAAATTGGTGAAATCCCCCACGTATCGCCTTTCGGGATACACTAGCTTTTGCTAACAGTGCGAGAGCTGCCTGTGAAAGAACGTTGGCTGATGTCCTGACAGATCACGTTTGAGTGGAAAAAAAATCAACTGAGAAGGTGCCGTTGTAACGTAATCACCAACCGCTGCTGGTCCTTCTGTTTCAGCTGATCATCATCATCATTTATTTATTTGTTTCATTTGCATACGGAGATACACAACGACTCAGAGGAAAGAGGGAGAGAGCAAGCTGGCAACTGCCACCTGGAGGGGCACAGTGCCTGCGTATACTCTTTCGGGAGCAGGGAAGAGATAGAGGAAATGGAGATAGGGGAGGTGAAGAAAAGGAGAGAAGGAAGTAAAGAAAAACAAACGATGAAGATTTAGACAAGCATCATTGATCCCAGCAAACATTTGTCTAGTGCGATCGATATGGCTGCCAGGTCATCGTGGTGTACTTACAAATGACATGGCTGACTCACTCGCCCGAGCATCCGTTGATGATCCGATTGTGCTAATCATGCCTCTTCCAGCTTATGTAACAGCAGCAATGTTCAATAAACATTACCTTCTTGAGGACTCATCAAAGATTACGATACCGAATCCGCAATTCCCGCACCTGCACTTCGCATGGTATAATAAATGGTGTTCCATGCGTAAAGTGGAAGTCTATATCAATCACATATCAATCAATCAACCACATATCAATCAACCACATATCAATCAATCAATCAATCAATCAATCAATCAATCAATCGTGCGTCGTGGCTCAAGACTCGATCCCTACCGTGTACACTTAGCATATCTCGTAATTTTGGACGCCACCGCATCCGCCGCTCTATATGACCCCTTCACCTTGGCGCTCCGAATTGTGGCCTCCGTGATCAGCTCCAACAGGGAGCCTTTGGAGACGACCACAGAGGCCACATCCGAATACACGTGAACCTTTTCAACACTTGTCAGCCATCCTGATGTCTTGGTACACCGCAAGCACGGCATATATTACGAAACCATAGATTTGAAAAAAGAAGAATTTTTATTACAGCTAAGTCACCACAGCACGCAAGTCCGGTTGCTTTTCGGCTTGAATGTCATTTTCTTGGTTTCGTTGCAACGGAATATCGTAGTGAACGATTTCATGTTCCTTAGAGAGACGTTTATTCTGTAAAAAAAAGAAAGAATACGTAAGAGGAGGAGGAAAGCAACACGGAGGGAGAGGTGATACGAATGTCATGGTAACAAAAAAAAAAACATTGCAGTACATCTTCGCTGTAGTTTAATGCACACAATTAGGTTTGAGCCCGATCGGGCAGATTTTTTCTTTCAGTAGTGCACAAATTTGATCACGCCGGTCATGCGTCTGAGAGTTCTTTCTTAATGTGTGAACAATGCTACCGCGTGTAACTATTAAAGCTAGACATCATCTCCCCTACGGGCAATTATAGTGGGATGCGAAGTCGTCGGTTGACGGTGAGTGTGGTCGCAGACTCGCATGTTCTCGTCGCTCCGGGATCGGGGAACTGCCACTCGACGCTACCGTTGCGCTTCGACTTCGTTGTCACCTTTATAACGCCGAAGTTCCACTTGGGCGTGCCGTGCCCATGCATGTTGCTTCAGTAGAAGTTTCCTGCTGAGGTTGACGTTTGCGTTCGCCTTCTCTGGCCCGAAGTTCGGGGCCCGCTTGCGGACGCTGACGTTTACGTTCGGCTTCCCGAGCGTTCCTCTGCTCCGCGGCGGTGGCGCTGCCGCTTCGGCTAGCGCTGACGTCACGTTCATGGCGTTTCGCGCACCGGTGCAGAGAGAAAGAGAGAGAGGGAATCACGGGAGCACAAAGAACACGCACACTTTATACTGCGCAGCGACACTTGCGCCGCCTACGGGCGTATACCATTAGAAAGAGAGTGAGAAATAGTGACTTGCAATCGTTTGCTACTCCCCGCCTGTCGTGGAGAAGGGAGAGAAGGAGAACGCACGCCAGCGTAGGAGAGGAGAGTGGGGCAGAGTGGCGCTTGTGCCACTCTACCCCACTGACGCCGCAGTACGTACATTGCCCCGAGAATAAGATGCTCGCGCAATTGAACAGTCAGATATGTGACCGGGCACTACTGTACGTTAGCTGGTATAAAGTGCATTGTGAAATTGAAGCTACACAAGAGATGAAACACCCCACAGAGTTTACAACGAGGACGCAATAAAAGGATGCACCAGCAAGCAGCCATTTGTTTCTATAGCCACCGTACCTACAATGTGGTTTAAGACAGTCGGTACAATCTTAATCGCTTCGTTGACCTGGCGTTCCTCGTTCCGATGATTAGAGTTCTGTTTATTTGATCAGAGACGCTGCCTCATAACTTCGTTATGGAGACGTTACACCTCATGACGTATTATTATTGTTAATATATTATTATTATTATTATTATTAGTAGTAGTAGTAGCAGTAGTATTACATTATTGCTCTCATAACTTCATATTCTTCTCGCTTCCAAATATTTATAGGAATAAATTATTTTTAAATTTCTATCATTACCCCAATTCCAGAATTTTCTCGTTTCTTGGTTTACCTTTTCCCAAGTGACAATGGCGGGCTAGCTGGTTGTAAGAAATGATGATAATAGCTGCAGCGCAGTATTTAAGAAACATGAGCAAATAAACAATGGTGTACACAACACATTGCATTGCAACACATTGTGGCAGAAACACGGGCAATGAAAGATTCATAAAACACAGCGCCCTTGTTGTGTGTATCATTACTTGTTTGTCCATGTTTCTCGAGTTTTATGCTGCACTTCTCAAGACCTTATTGTTGGTCTGTTTATTTGAATGAAAACCTGGCATGCTTTCAATTTCACCATAATTCGAATCACATTGCTTAGTTTTGGAACTGTAATTTCTCGGGCTAACTCATCAAAAGACCGCGCAACACCGTTGTGTAGGTGATAGTGGAAGTGAAAGTCCATGAGCGGGAAATCATGCTGTGATAGCTTGAATGCTTCAAGAGTCAAGCAATTCAAGGCATGTTGTCAGTGCAAACGTAAAATAGACGTCCATATTTTGAAAAACAGCGTGAAAAACATGACTGAAGCGGAGAAGCAGAACACACAAGCGCTGTTTTTTTTTTTTTTGCGCTGCTCACTCGCAGTATTGTGTCCCAAATGACCCTTAAGGACACCCAACTGCAACATATTTTGAAATTGTACATGTATCTCTAAGAAGGCTTATTCAGGGAAGATTAGTTTTGATGTGCTGTGAGGTAACCAACGTTGACCCAGTGCAAGAATGAGCAGCAAAAAAAGTCACCTTTGTCTGCGCGGGCTGTGGGGGTCGTATTCGATTTGCAGGCGCAAGGCGCCTGCACGAGAGCTTCCACACCATACCTGCGGGGTGAATAATAAATAAAAGATTAATGTTTGAACAGTTGAACAAAATATTTTGTATCAAACTTTGGAGGGAAGTACGCACGCAATTAGTTAGTGAGACACCGTCCGAATTGTAATGTTTTCTTTGTGCTATCGACGCTGTTCACTCGCCGTCTATTCGCTGTGAGATCGGGCTATAGGTGGCAGCACCGTTCCCGCGAAAGGTTGGATAGGCGGTCGGCGGCGCGTATACAAATTACCGCAGCGTCGCTTCGTTGCGTGTGGTCTGAGCTGATTGGCGGATGAAATGCGTGGACTACAATTTACTGTTAATATCTACAGTCTCTTCTCTACTGAATCGGTGCGCGACGCTTATGCAACGTTAACATTACTCGCGAGTAAAACGCACCCCGTCTTTCATAGTGATACTCGCCCTGGGTGACTCTCTTCACGCTTTCGCACTAAATCACGCCTTTGCTGTGTTGTTTGTGCGTGGTTAGCTTGTGTTCCGTCTTGCAACGCACTGCTGTAGCGCGACTGAACTACTTATTTACATCTTCGTCATCTGCATACTACAAAAAAAAGAAAGAAAGTTCGAAGAAAGCCCGCACATCTGTGCAATTTGTTCAGTAGTACCATTGTTCGCACCTTAGACGCATGTGATTTTTTTTCTCTCATTGTGTTCACCGTGAAATGTGGGGCAGTCGATAAGTCTAGTCAGGAAAGCTTAGTGGCTGACAGCGCTTTGCGCTACACTGCGTTTACCACGTGTAAGCACATGCTCTTGCACCAGTAAAATTATAAAAACTTGTATAAGAGTTCAGCAGAAAGCTTCCATCTATGAATTACGTGCATTACGGTGCTACAACAAAGGCCTGGTTAATGGGACAAGCATGCTTTTTTTTCAGACAAAAAATTACCACTACTTTCTGTCGGTCACTAACAATGCCACACAAAGGCTCAAAAAATGTAAAGAAAGTATGGAATCTTCAGTGAAATTTACAACGTTACATATAAGGCATGTCGTCTGAATTAATTTTCAACGTCTGGACTCTTTAAAGCGTTCCTAATTTTAAGCACACGGTTGCGCATGGTAACTCTGTTTTAAGTACAGTGTAAGTACCGAAGTCTCACAGCTTAGGTTATAGTAATTTTTCTGTGAAGTGGTACCACGGCCAGATGAACACAACTAAGGCTCCTCGCATGATCGATAAACTGCAGTGCCGTAGTTGTACACCTACCAACAGCGCACAAGTGCATGGCTTAGAGCCTGATTTTTTTTTACAACTGAGTCGCCATAAAATGCTGCATTCATACAGCATTTCCTCATGTTTGGGAGGATGCCAAGAGCATTTTGCGATGTGCTTGAAACAGAAAGTGGCACTCACTCTGAAATTATTCTGGTGAATGGAGGGTACGACGACAATGAGCAGCACTCTGGAAAGTTGCACTCGCCGATCTCGTTGCAATGCATTAGCAGCCAAGCAAGATCAAATGCTTTCGTACCTCGTTTCAGGCATACGTAGAAATAGTTACACTCGCGCTGACATGACCGGACAAACCACACTTTGAGAACGAGCTTGACGCAATCCACACTTCACCGTTTCGGGCAGTTGCCACCAGGCGGCGACTCTGCTCGATCTCGCGACCATTACCATTTTCACTTTTTTTGTTTAATACAGCTACCTGTACATAAGGAAATACTGAACGAGCTCTGAAGGTACAGCTAGCACCAAATGTTGTGTGCTTTACCTTCTGTAGCGATGCTGGACCAAAGGGTGTCAGATTTTCCCCAAGCCGCATATGTGCGGCTTTTACAAAGAAAGCTGTTATGAGATCACAACACGGGTTGTGTGCGCCGTATTTGTCCGCCGCCGCCATCCGTAACCACTATTTTTTGAAATCAGGAAAACTCGGTAAGAAAAGTCACAGCTTTGCCGCAAAGGCGAAGCAATGAACGCGATAGCAACAAATGGGAAGACAACGCGCAGAGTGGCAAGCAGATCCAAACGTGTCCCGCGTTTCTCACGCACAAATGACGCACGAAACGTTCTAACAGGTGTATATGAACGCGAATAAGCGTCTCAGTTGTTACTTCGCTAACGCCATCAGTTGTTACTTCACTAACACCATATAGTCCACAATCCCACGCAACGCCATTTATTGAGCCACTCATAAAATAGAGGTGGCTACATACTACTACTAAGACTACAGAGGAGGAAACGACCCGCTGCCTAAGGAGCTTCGCCCCTAAAAAAAAAAAAACGTTTAATGATTTAGAGCACTTCGTACTCAACTGTGGGAGAGCAGAAATCCGTCCCACGGGAATCTCCGACGAAGTACAGGCGTAACCGGACACGAAATCTTGTGCTCTTGTGTTTAGAACATGTGTTTAGTAAATGTGTTTAGTAAATGTGTTTAGTAAATGTGGTTGTGGCCATGGCCACATCCGAAACCCTAAGGTTCTTTTAAAGTAGGAGTCACGAGACATTGCTTTTGATAACATTGATAGTTTTCTTCGTGACAAAATATGTTTTCATAAGACGTGTGTTGTTCTCTCCTCTGTAATAGTAGTAGCACTAGTACGTAGCCAACTCTAGTTTGCCGCGCTTAATAGATGGCGTTGTGTGTATATGTAATTGGGGAATGATAAAACTAGATAATGTTAGTGGTTTTCACGGCATGGAGTGAATGATCATGAGTGGGGCGAAGCGTCCGTCCGTGTGTTCATCCGTCCGTCCGTTCGCCCCTCCGTTCTTTTATTCCGTCCGTCTGTCTGTCCGTTCTTGCTTTCGTTTGTCCATCTGTCCGTCTATGCTTCTGTCTATCCGTTCATGCTTCTCTCCGTCTGTATGTATGTCCGTCCATCCGTCCGTGCCTCAGTCCGTCCGTGTGTCCGGACGGACGCATTGACGGATAGACACACGGACGGACGAACGGACGGACGGATGAGTCGCCCCACTCATCATCATTTACTCGGTGGATATGCTGTATTTTTTTTTGCTTAGGGAGTTGCTATACAGCATTTCACGTTATTCCCCCTAAGTTCAGTCTTGCGCGTTTAATCGAACGAGTTTGCGTACTCTCGACGTAACCATCCATTGTATAGTTGTGTATGAGTTGAAATGTTTTGACGTCACATTACGGAAAACGAACGTTAGCAGGTTCTGAAATTGACTAAGGAAGTCAGGTTGAGGAGAACGTCAGATGAACTAGAGAATGCGATTGGAAAAGCAGTCTTAAATAAGTGGGCGTTGTTCGGTTTTCTTCTACACACGTCCTCTCGCTTATTAAAAAACTCACTTCTTGTTATGCTCTGCGTCTTGTATTGTGAGAAGTGTATTGTACTACACGAAAACCTCACGTTTATGCTTCTAGTGTGACAAAAAAAAACTGTTCAGACGGATACCCGACGTGTATGCAATTTACATTTTCGCAGCGTTGAAAATTGGCTTAATGATCGTTAAAATCTACTTGCACGGTTTACTCGTCGGTACCATGCAATATGTCGTCGATGTATGCCGTAAAGTGGATGACTCAGCAACAGCTTTGATCGAGTAAGGTTCTTTCGGGCTCCGGATTGTTTTTTGCATGTATCCACAATGCAGAGGATGGGCTTGGAACTGGCGTCATCATGCTTAGTAAAATAATCCACAAAGCAGAGGCTAAGTGCTATCCTGAATTCACACTCGCTTAGTATTTTATCCTAAGTTGTCTCCCTCTTGACGATTCTTACGAGTTACAGTTGATTCAGAGAGGCGTACATACGCAGAACATGAAACACGTAGACTTACGTAAGCGGTCGAGAGGAAGAAGAGATGCTTGGATGTGTAATTTTCGAGTCCCGGAAGGCGAACATCCGGTGTTTCGAACGCTTTAAGTTGTTCGTTAAGTGTCTGAAAAATAAAGGCATGCAATAGCAGAAAACTCTGATAACCACTTTTGTGCACGGTCATCAGCTCAGACGCTCACTAAGCGAAGAACGAAAGTCAATAGCACTTCTAGAGGTGCAATCACCGTTGTGTTCTTGCAGACGAAATTAATCATAGTTTATAGCAATTATTGCAGGTCCCTTCACTTGATGCGATGTGTTGTCACCGATTAACGAGTTTTAACGGTTTCGGTTCATTTAGTTTAATTAAATAAATGACACTTTTTTGTCATTGTTTAGATATGCCTTGAATATCTTGAGCAGTATAACCAAAAATTAATTTATCCTTCTCAATGGTAGGTGCTTCACATGAATGGCGGAGAGATTAGACATTTTTAACATAGTAAATGCATTAGAGTGAGCACTTGAATGTAGTGAAGCATTGAAGGTGACGACAGCCGTTTTGTATCCTACTTTCTTTACGATGGGAAATATGTTTTCTGGAACAGTATTCGATCATTGTTAAAAGTATTTCTAGAGCCAGTGCTTTGGCGAGTTGATTGATTTTCTCTGTGGCAGCGAAGACCCCTCATAAGACAAGTTTACTTATGAAAATGTTCCTGCTGCAGCATATTATTCAGCTGCCTTTGAACATTTTGATACTCTGGCTTCTTCTGATTGTCTTTTTTAGAATTGTAGCAACCTAACATAACTGAGTGTTTTGCCCACCCGTTCGTAGGATATTCTACACTACTGCACATTTAGTCATGCCTTTTACTGATTCTCGTGCTGATATTGAAGCTGCATTGAATTTTACCATACACTCTGGCTTTTCAGTGTAGACAAGTTTTTTTCCGAAAACTCAAGGACGACATTCGCGTTGATACAAGAATTGTATATTTGTTTATATGGCGATATTTACGAGTGACACGTTTGCGGAAACCCTGCAAGCCAGAAGACTACCGCGTAAAAAATACACACCCTGAATGCCATTCGGAGTCCCCCGTTGTCGGCAATGTTTTCTCCTAACGTGTTCACGCCGTTCAACTGGAAGGGAAAGCATAAGGGCAGATTTATTTGTAGGAAAAAAATCCGACAGACCCCACGCATTGTGGGGATCGACTTCATGCGAAGCAGCTGCGAGTAGCAGCATCAGCTTAAATTTTCGGTTTCAGCCAAGCGTTATAAGGTAAATCGTCTTTGCAAATTTTATCAGTTGTGTGTTTATTGTGGGCTTGATAGGCACGTCAACATGCCTAACAACGTGTCGTGTAAAGGGTATTTCATGGCCTGACGTTACGATAGCCTCACATAAGAGCAGAGGTGTGAGTTTTCTCGCAACGTTGTGCACGCCATGGTCCAGTGAAGCTCACGTTATAAACAGCGGTCATCAGACAGACAGGAATGTTTGAGAACAGCTTGCGTAGTCGATGTTCCCGGGATTTTCATCAATGTGGATAGCCTACGATACAACCACAATCGGCCTTGCCCTGGCAGGATGCATGTGTGGCGTCTTTTTCCTAAAAAGATTGCACCAATGGTGCTGCTGTGTGGTAGAATATTTGAGTGTCATGCAGAGTGCCTGGGTTCGATTACTTCTAGAGCCATGATTCTTATTGTTTCCGTCGAGATTTTCCGCTCATGGACAAAGCCGTCGACGCCGGAAACGCACTTCCTACTACGCGAACTCATCTTTTCCGCATATATAAGTACAGGTGCAGATATAGGTGCTGGTGCAGATAAAGGCACAGGTGCAGATATAGGTACAAGTACAGCTACAGGTGCAGGTACAGCTACAGGTGCAGATGTAGAGGTACAGCTACAGATGCAGATGTAGAGGTACAGCTACAGATGCAGATATAGGTGCAGATACAGGTGCAGATACAGATGCAGATATAGGTGCAGCTACAGATGCAGATATAGATAAATAGTAATTTGTTTCCTTCAAGGCGACAAATACTTACACTCTAGTCACTTAAGAGAGGTAGGTGGCGCAGTCAGCGCCACACAGTGACACAATAGAGGGGGAGGGGGCGCTCCGACTCGGGGAGGGAGGCGCAAGGACAGCCCCTTACACTGACATAATTGGGTGGGGTGTCCTGCAACAAGCCTTCGACCCCACCTGCCACGTAAGCGTACTATGTGCACGCCTATAACCAACACAACCCTGGTGAGCATATTCGAATGTACGTCAGGTTTAGTACAGAAACTTGAACATTCTGAGTAATAGCTTTTGGCTAGCTCACCGTTCTGTTGGCCAGTTCACTAAAGACGGCGCTGTATTGGTCTATGAAGCACTTTGACTTGGCATCAAACTTCTTTTGTGTCGAATTGCTCCACCAGTTTCTCAGCCGCCCATCCTCATCGAACTTCTTTCCTGTAAAAGTACATTTTTAACTTCAGCACGGGAAGTCGATGTATTTCTTCTATGCTAGCTTTGCACAATTTGGACGGCGATTTCTCAATAACATTCTGGATCCCTAATAAAAAAAAGGTTCAATAAAAAGAAAACTATATCTCGTGCTGTCATGCATCCCCAAGATATACAGTACACAACAAGAAGTCTATCCAACACCGTAGCTACGGAGATTTCAAAAAAGGCAGCTGAGGCGCTAGTAAGCCGACTCATATAACGCGGCATCTATATATACCCGCACGATGGTGCGAGTTTGCGTATGCCTGCTCAGAGCCAAAAAAAAAGAAAAGAAAAGATTCACTGCGTAATATCTACGCGAAACTGATCGTCAGGTTGTTTGGTTTTCCAAAGACCATACGGCTGCTCATGTAACAGCCCGTGATACATACATACGCGTCATGGCAGACGAACTGTAAGCCCTTGCAACACACTGAGTAGCTTGTGCGAACGTAGACAGGAACGCATGGAAGGTGAGAGTGGTGAACCGTCAACGCAGGACAACGAATGCGTCGATCTTTCTCAGATTGAACTGTCTTTGCAAGCATAGAATCGGTTAGAGTACGATGCTTGCAAAATGGCCAGTGTTATATGCTTCAGAACCGCGCAGGATAGGCGAACCTGCTTTACACAGTTACAGGAATGGCGTCACAATAATCATGCATTAGTTTCGTCGTTGTACCATAGTCGATGAATACACTCGACGAGGCTGGGCTCAGCCAACCCCACTAATGTTTCTATTTCACACTCTCAAAGAACCTGACGTTAAGCTGATTCCTACATTTACCAGGACCCACACATTGTTCTTGCTCGTTTTTTTTTTGCTTATTTGTGGTTGCTTCAGGTTCCTGCACACCTTCGATCATTGCACTTTATTGATTGGTTCATAGATATTTCTACGCACAAGTCAGTTTACTACATCCATGTTTCTTCCTTTCTCTCTAAAGCTTCGCTTTCCGTACATCTCTTTTAAGGGAAGTGTATACTTTATATTTTTATTCTTAGACTGCCTGCTACCATAAATCGTTAGCGCAATGAAAAGTAGCACCTAATATAGCATAAACAATGGCACAAGAATCGAGCAGGTCACGTAGGCGAGAGAGTACCTCCCACACAAACACGTCTTCGTCATCATGTCATCGTTGTCATTCTGTTATCGCCAGCCATGCTATCTGGTGTAGCGTTTAGGGAGCTAGAATAAGGAGAAGCACACGTTCTTGATGTTGAGCAAATCAACGAGATAGAGTAGCGAGTGGCACGTCACCTACTCAGTCTACTTTCGCAGTGTCGTGATGGCAGTTCGTATTTGCATTGGCTCAGGTGGTTTCTTCACAATCGTTCATTGAATTGCTCATGCATTTGAAGCACCAGATTCCTCGCCATTTCTCGATTAAATTGCGTGTATGAAGCACTTGCAAATGATCGCTGAAAAGGTGCATTCCATACAAAAACTAATGTTTTAAAAGGGTATAAACAGGGCTGAGATGTGTGATGCATCACACATGTCTGAGAATTCGATCACGCATGAATATGTGGGGTGGGAATCACAATCGGAAAGACTGGCAGGACATTGCGCTGCAGCGCCAAGTACTGTCAGTCCTTCTTGTCCCGTGAATTGCAGTGGAGAAGAGTACATCAGTATTTTGTTTCTCATTCACGCAGTAAGAATGTCCTATCCCATAAGCGCGGAGGACGTACTTACCCGGCATGAACTGGTCGCGGTGACAGCTGTAGTAGCAATGTAATGTCTACGTTCATAGCACCCACCTTGGTTGTCAAATCCGTGTGTCATTTCGTGTCCAATGACTGTGCCAATCGCACCGTAGTTGACAGACCTGCCAAAAAAAAAATTACATCTAAGAAAGGCCTTAGCATTCGTACAAAACCCAAGGAAAAACGGTTAAGCAGCCGTTTAATGTTTCCTAAAGGGGTGGTCCCTTAAAATTTCGATGCCCTACCAAGGCTGCTGTGGCTTTCTTCAGTATGCAAGGACACTCTGCACGAAAGGTAGGACACAGCAAAGGCTCCTAGTGCGTATTAATTCACATCCAAATTGTACCTAAACGCTCATTCTCCCGATCGAGTCCCATCGCTAACGCGCCAACAGTGACGTAGCTCTATACAAAGGGCAACGAACGTTGTAGTGAGGTCACACCAGACCTGTAGTGACGTGAGGGACGTCCGTACCTCTGCTTAGCATATACCGGCAGAGCGTCGGTCACAACATCCCTCGCGGACGATCCAGTTAACTATGGCACCTCTCGGCGCGTTTGTTTTGTTGTTGTTGTTGTTGTTGTTGTCGTCGTCCTATTTTGCTGGCATACTTGTGTGGCACGTGCGAGCGAGAGCATACTATACTCGGCACTTGCTTATACCAGGCTTGGGTGGTGAAACCTACCAACACTGCCACGTCACAGCCCGATTGGGCGCCCAGAAACCGAAACCGAAGATGAACCACATGAAATAGGCGATAATTTATTTCTGCGATAATAAATTAATCTTGGTGCGTGTATCGATCATGCTTCCCATGGAAGCTTTAAGAAACGCTTGCAGCAAGGAACGCGCAAGCCACAAATTTGGTGGCACAACCCCTTTAACATACCTCAACATTCTTTTTTTTTCCCACATGCAATATCGCTATGCAATAAATTACCGGAAGTAGTAGGGATCTATACTACAATAGAGTCATGCGTTCACCTTTTAAGCAACCTTTTCTCTGACACGTAAAATTTCGTTTATACTGTGTAGCAATTAAGGCAGTTGCTTCTTGCGTTTGATATTCATTTGATGCATTGCATGTAATTTATCTTATGTATTAAATTGTAGTTTGCGCATGTTTTATCACTGTTATAATACTGTATGCTAAAAACTGCAAATCACTTTTCCTTGTTGTTGATTGTAATCATATTTATCACCTATGTGGAGCTTTTTATTTTTCTCTCGAAATGGGCCATATTCAAAACCGAGACTACATCAGATAATGCCGTATTGGCACATACATACGCTCATCTTTCATTTAAAACAGTATGTTTTAATCACTTACTAATAATTATTTCTCATTACTGTTTCAAAGGAAAGTTGAGAGTATGTACATGCCAACAGAGCCTTATTTGAGCTAGTTTCGGTTTGGATTTGGCTCATTCAAAAAAAAAAACTGTGCTCGATTATGTCGCCGACAGTTTTAATTACTGTTGATATTGTTTATGTATAATGATGTTGCCACTCCTGCTTTGGCCCGACTAAGGACTTCAGTATCTGCAAACAAATGGAGAAAAAAAAAACGGGAATCCACTGACACGTATGATGGTGATTGATCGATATGTGGGGTTTAACGTCCCGAAACCACCATATGACTATGAGAGGCGCCGCAGTGGAGGGCTCCGGAAATTTCGACCACCTGGGGCTCTTTAACGTGCACCCAAAATCTGAGCACACGGGCCTACAACATTTCCGCCTCCATCGGAGATGCAGCAGCCGGGACTCGATCCCGCGACCTGCGGATTAGCAGCCGAGTACCTTAGCCACTAGGCCACCGCGGTGGGGCACACGTATGACGGTGTCACTTGTATGACACATAGAGTGAGGCAGAAGGCGTACAGGAAAAGGCAAGAGACTAATTGGCGTGGCTACATCCCTAGGCTGCACCGTACACTGTAGAGCAGGCTGTAGGGACAAAGAGGATGTACGTACGGGGGTAGTCCGTGCTGGTAAAAGGAGTCTCTGAGTATTCCGGCTGGAAACACTGAAAGAAAGCCACTGTGTTACTACAATCACGCAGAACGCAATCGATCAGCCGAATAACGTATAATCGAAAAATCAATTGTCCAAACAACTGATGATCCTAATCGATATTGTTCTGCTGAGATGACATTCACCAGCTCATGAAAGAGTGAATACGTGGCTTTTAATCATCGCAACAAGAGTAAGCTATGCTTCCAAGGTCGTTCCACACTGTGCTTTGCAAGTTGCGTTTAGGTGCTATAAAACATGCCTTATACGTCGAATCAGTCAATACTACTCCATTGTGTAACTGAATATTTTTGGCGTCGCATCAGCCTCTTTAGATCTTATGGGCCTGCAGAGTACTGGCTACCCGTTCCTGAATATTTTAAATAAATATGCACGTATTGACAACTGACGTCAATTTACTTACCCATTTCGTTTGTCGTGGGGCTGTAGAAGGCATTTACCACCGTAGGGAAGGTTATCCAGCTGTAAAAGTAATGCACAAAGTTTTACCAACAACAAAAAAATCTCGCAACTCATTTCTCGCATAGTACGAGATGATTTGCATTCAGATATTAGTCTCGTTTCGATTAGAATTGTTAGCGTTGACATTGTCGCAAAACTATTGAAACCTTTCTGAACGAAGAACTTCGGCAACCTCCGCAAAAGTGCGAAAGTTGTTGGTAGATACGGCAACAGAAATTGTTTTCGAGGAATGCATTTATAAATACGTGCCTGTTTTTCTTGTCTGGTTTCTTCCTAAGTAATTGCAGCGTCTTGATGGCAGCATTGTCTTGAAAGATTAGTACAATTTTAAAGAATGGTGTGCTTATGTTGAATGACTGGACCTTCAATGAAGGAAAGTAAATTGGGATTTTACTGGATTGGAATTATCAGCCCTATGCCACCTTAGTATAACTGGCCTATACTTACGTATTGAAAATTGTTTTCCATAACGGTATCATTGAGAATCCATGTTGGAAATCCAATCTTGTGCATGATTTTGTCAACCTGAGTTAAAGAAAGGAGAAAGTAACAGACGAACTTCTTTATATATATATATATATATACCAGTGGGCAGGAACCGAACCTTTGTTCGAAGGTCGCAGGTTCGGCTCCTGCCCACGGCAAGTTATCTTTTCACTAACTTCTCTTTCTTCGCATTTACCTTACAATTCGGTCTAATAACTTCCCCTATACTTTTCTTGGCATTATTGCCTGTTAGATTTCAAATATATATATATATATATATATATATATATATATATATATATATATATATATATATATATATATATATATATATATATATATATATAATATTCAATGCATAGTAATTAAGCATGCTACAAGCCTTCTGCCATATATATTAGTGTAAATGCTGTGTAGAAAGCGCACAGCGGTTGTATTGACGCAGGTTTTAGCTAGAGTAAACTCACTGACCAACACAGTCACGCACCAGCCTGCTCATACGGAACGAACTATCAAGGATCTGAACGGCTATTCATTATGGTCAAGCGTTGACACAACGTCGAATCCGACTTCACAATACCGTATAGCAAAGGTAAAGAAAAAAAAAATGTGTATATATGGAACAAAAGCACTCTACTAAACTTGCTTTTTTGTCAACTAGAACGACATTGTAAGTGAAACAGTACGATTGGTTCAGTCTTCGAGAGAGTAAATGACAGGTATTAATGGCAACTGCTGAGATAAGGGGAACCAATTAATTGATTGTAACGGGGCACCTTTTTGAGTGCTGTTCGTTTTGTTTCGCCGGTCATCCACGGTCTTGAAGAGAGCGACTCCTTGAAGGTCGTGGTTATATTTTTTATCATCGCTTCCACCTGAGACGATGTAGAACGAAAGAGAAAAACATCGAGAGTCGTTAAATACATATAATATAAAGCGTAGAAACTGGCAAATAACCGCTAGATGATGACACATCACCAATTTTTGCTGGTTCATACCGTGGCCGAATAACTACAAAAATGTTTTTTTTTCGCCCCATAAGCCTTAAGGCCGAACAACATGCAACGTTTTTGCCGGCGTTTTCTGGCTTTGTGTCTTTCGGCGTCGTGATATAAATGCCGCCAGAAAGCGCGACCAACCACAATTTAGGCCAGCGCCAGCCCAGCGTCGCACTTTGTGAGCAAAGGAAATGAACTTGAAACTTCGAAACACAGTGTACAGTGTTCTTCAGTGGACCCACAATAAATATTCCTGATTATAGGTTTTTGTGTCTAATATGCAGTTTTTTTTTGTGAGGGACACAAATCACAGTGCCGCCAGAAATGCAGTTTTTTTCATTTTATTTGTAGCGCCCACTATTGAGAATAAGAACCACAAACTCGTAATATATGGCCTCGTAGCCTGGAAGTTGTCGCACATCATTGAGGTCGCGTATTGCGCCAATACGCTCAGGCCTCCTAAGCCTACCGATGAACCCCGCGCGCCTGCTGTCGAAGTTTCTGAAGAAGAAGCTAATTCAAATACAAGCATCAGTGTAGAACTTGCGGGTTACGTGGGGCACGGCGACAACGTCATACATCCGAGGCGGGCAGTAGCCGTTTTGACAGCAGCGAGCGATCATGCTACACTTCTAGTACACTGTAACCATGCCGTTACGTGGCGGAAGTCGGTGCCAGCCGCGCGCTGATTGCTTCTCCGTCCCTCGAACAGCTTCCGGCGTCGACGCCGACGCCGAAGATGTCTGGACTGTCCTGTAGGGGACGTTTCCGGCGCCGTCACCGGTATAGCGTCGACGCCAAGTGACGCCGGCGACCGAAACGCCGCAAAAACGCCCGCAAAGAAAGCTGCCTACAGTTTGGCCTTTATTTATTTACGAGCAAACAGGCGATGCTGCGAAGCGCGTCTTATCAAGACCAACTACGGGCAGTCCAGAAGGTCCACGATGCCGCCACAAGGCTCGGCCTGACGGTACCGAATGTGGACACGGCCCGCCTCGGTCTGAAAAGACCGGGCTTCAGGACACAAAACTTTGTGAATGAATGAATGAACTCGGAGCCTGTTCGCTATTATAATAGTGTATCTTGATGCCAGAATAATAATTCAGGTACTCACAAACTTTTTTCTGTATATCACTGTACCCGGGAGTTTGTACATACGCCGCGATACCACCTTAATTCTTTCACCCTCACCCCCACCCCCCCTGGCATACTGCGATGACCAGCTCAAAGCCGCATAGCGTTGGCCGATCCCGCCGGCGCGTGCAGTGGTGCGCGGCCAATGGAGTCCTGAACTATAAGAGCTCCGCTCTGAGAGCAAGGTCGCTCACCTTTCCAACAACGAATGTTTTCATCTGTCGCCCTTGTTCCAACAATAAATGTTTTCATCTGTCGCCCTTGTTTCCTGTCTTTCCTGCGGTCCCATATATTCTCCATGCAACTGTGGAGTGGTCTTTTTATACCTGTCGGGCACATTAGGTAGTGCGTTTTGTCAATTACTCGTGTCAAATTAACAGTCACCCACCTCACTTGTAAATATTGTTATCACGTTCGCTTACGCATTTAGTATGTATTAGTATTTTTTTTTGCTTTTATTGTTTTTTCATCTACCCTGTGAAATTTTCAACCCCATGCATTTCCTTATCCCTGGACAGAGTTACACACAGGCGCTTATATGCGCACTACCAATAACCAGTTTTTCACGTAAAGAGTCTCTCTCTCTCTCTGAAACATTTACAGGAAGTAATGAATGCCCAAGGATATCGTAGAGCTAAATCACTGACAGGGAACGTCGCAATTGTTTTTTCTCTGATGTGCTAAAGCGTATAGTTCGTCACATAACAAAGAACAGCAACATACCCCTATGCAGTAATAAATAATCGGGTTCGTCGCACGATAACAACGTTGGCAAATCTCACGCGATAACAAATGACGAGTATTATTATGCGGTGAGAATCCTGACAGTAGTGTTATGCTGATATATTGAGTTATCAACTATTGTAGATATTGTCAAACCTTACACTTCAATATCATCTTTTTTTTTGCATTCCAGGCAGCACTTTCTGCCCTTCGCGAAGCCCTTCAGAAACGTATGCTCTATCGCACAAGTTTCCCTTGTTCATCATATACTCGTCTCATTTGTTACTTTATGTATTTTTTTCGGCTCGCGTCATTAAAGAAATCAATTTGTAGGCCATAAGCAAATGGTTACTGCCATTAGATTATAAAAAAAACTATGTGGACTGAGGCGAGTTACGAATGAAAATAGAGGGTAATGTCAGCGACCCTGGCCATTTTGAACCACTTTTCTCCATCATGAAGCGCTGCTGTTACACTATTGACTAACACGTTATTTTGGGAGTTACGTAATCGGTCCTCCATAGCACGCCTATCACTGAGCATGTTCCTGAAAAGTTTGTATTCTCGCCGTTCCGCGCATCATATTGCCACGTTCTATTTCTCAAGTTTTGTTATCGCCCCAAAACACTACACAATTCTCAGCGCAAACCGCGCCTGCAGTTTCCGAGAAGCTTCCGGACTTTAGTAGATCATTTTGATAAGATCACGCCTACTCTGCGAACTGTACAGATTATTCTGGAACCTACGCCACCGCCAACGATAACGCTAGAACATTCGATGGCAAGAGTATAAATGCCGACGCACTTCGCCGCTTGTGAGTATATAGTTGATCGACGGCCGACGCTCCGTTCGCCGCTATCAGTGCTACTGTAATCGAATTTTCCGTTTACCGGGCACAGGTTCGCCCAAATAAACAGTTAAATTCCAACACAAAGTCTCCTGTCTTCGGCCACGTCACGACCCCGTGACAATATAACAGTTTCGTTGCTTCTGCAGTTAAGGGATACGTATCTGGATTGCACTCACGTCGTTTTTCGCCGAGACGTTGAAGTTCTTCTCGACGTACATTCTGCCAACCACGAAAGGCATCGCACTGGTGACCTTCGCGAGGCAATATTCCCAATGCGGTTTTTCTTTTCGCACGCCGTACGCGATTTGCAGCAGATTCTGCCAAGCCTTCGAGAATGTCTTTGACGTCAGCAGTAGAAGCTTGAATATACGCCTCCAACCGGCAAGGTTATACATGTCCGTTCTGCACAGAATAATTATCCGTTCCCAGTAAAAATGACTGGCATGCTCAAACGTTTTATGTGAAACGTACTTACAGGTCATATATGCAACCGAAAAAATCGTTGGCCTTTTTTATGTAGGACATCCCGAATATTGCGACTTCCTCGGTCTCATTCAGAGTTATGTTCGCCAGCGAAAACGTACGGTTTAAGCATGCCAAAGTCGGTATCTGAAGAAAAAAATAAAACATCCTACATCAGATTTCACAAAAAAGAATGCTGCAAACAGGGCTGTAAAAAAAGTTTGCACATTATTTTAAAAGCAATAGCGAAGAACCATCTTACGTTAGGCACTTGTTTCATCAGATCACCAATGCTGATTTTTTGGTATAGCGCATTGATGTCTCTTCTTTCATCCGGGTCCTCTGTCATCTAGAAAAAAAAATCTTGAGTAGTATCGGATGCTTCTTTCTTTAAAAATGTGGTTAAAGCTATAGTATAATTGCACCCGAATAGAACCTAGCGATAGTTTAATATTATTTACTGCAATGCATTTGCCATTAGTGATTGCACGCATTTTGTACCTTTTCATAGCACTTATGCCGAGCAAACAGATGCTACTGTCTGCAACATCTGATAAGTTTGTGGCTTCAGAGAAGACAGAAACTCGTGAGAAAACAGAGAACATGCAACGGTGGCGTGATATGTCTTTGTCGGGGTGACTGACTGCATGTGTTGCTTTAGCATTATCTGGGGTGAGAGGGCTGAAGATGACGGCGTGCAAAGAGAGATGCCAGCATGTATCTTTTGTCGTTTGATGCCTTGACGAAAACGAGACCGCCTGTCCAAAAGTTGGCTCCAGCGAAACCCTCTAATAAAGGATTTTTTTTATGTAGCTGTAAACTATATAACTTGTGTTTTGTTCTGATTTAACTGGTTTACTGTTGAGAATTAGAGGTTTACAGGAAGTCACCTACTCCATTTGTTACAATTTAAGCAGTGATAAGAAAGTGGGTTTCCTATACAAAAAGATCAACAATTAAGAAAAAAATATATAGTGTGAACTGAAAATAAGGCGGAAAAGACAAATTGTAAGCTTTAATTTAAAAAAATGGCAGCATATCCACGGAGTGAATGATGGAGAGTTGGAGTGGTGACAACTCCGATCATGGCTGCTTACAACTGGCTAAAACGGCCCCCATACTTGACGGGCTGCCATGTTGGTTCTGAGTGGTCGCTCATTTACATTGACGGCAGCGTGGGTTTCAACGAGAAGAGGGGTTTTTTTTTTGTATAGCAAGTGCTGAAGGCTGAAGGGTTGTTTTCTGAAGTTAGCCGTGGTTTGGTAGAATAGGAAAGACGTGACTCGAGTTTGTATAAAATGCTGTTAAAACAGTTCGTTTCTCCCACTTGGTAGACCCACCGCATTGGCGGAGTGAGGTTATTTAGGGAGCCTATATTTGCGAGGGGGAGAACCTCGATGTCACTATGAATGGACTTCAATGTCTGCGCGCCATTCATGAAGCGTATTCACTTTAGCACTGCAAGTACCTCAAAGGCCTCTTAGTACAAGGCTCGAAACCGTGCTGTTTGTATGATGGAACTCGTAACGACCGGGAAGGCAGAACAAACAACCGGGTAGCCCCGCGATGTTCTCTGTAAACCGAATAGCTCAGCTAGCCTGCTTCTCATACCCTCAACATTGCGTTTCTCCGTAATGTAATTTCCTACAGCAAGTTTAGTTCCTGCGAACGAATATGTACAATGACTGCTTAAAAACCTTATAGGCTGTAAGCATTGCCCGAAAAAGTAGGGCATTCAATCACATTACACTGCCCTCCCCCTATACCCACAAGCCTGTATATTAGGCTTGAAGAAAAGCAAAGGGGAGCAACGAGGGACAAATCAAGTTTTTACAGGTCAGATTTTATTGCAAACGGCATCCAAACGGCATCTGGCCTTGTGTCTTCAAACGGACGGGCGCATGGACGGACGCAGGGGCGGATGCATGGACGAACGCAGGGACGGACGCACAGATGGATGGGCGGACGCACGAACAAACGCACGCACGGACGGTCACACTGACGGACGCATGGACAGACGGAAGCAAGAAGGAATAAACAAACGGATGCTTCGCCCCACTCTCCATCATTCACTCCGTGGATATACTGCCATTTTTTATTTGCCCCTCCCATCCTTCCCTGCTCAGCTTCCAGCGCTTTCGTCGGGACGAGAGAACGCGATTGCAGCGTGCGACAAATCTTTGTAACTCCGCTCGTACTGGACGGATTCTTAAAAATTTTGCATATTTCAATTTGTGAGGTAATACGCTTTTGCAGTGAATTAATTCCGTGGTTACTCAAGAAAGTGTTTCAGGGCCCCTTATAATGTTGACAAAAAAAATTTCTTTGCCAGGGTATATCTTGTATGTACGCTGGCAAAGGAATTAACATTATTGAAACACAGTGAACATGAAAAAAAAGCTTGATTTGCAGTACTGATATGAACGAAGCATTTAACATGCATTTTAAGATCAGTAACTATGTACGTTTCAACGACATAATGCAAAAAAAAAAACAAACTAGGAAACATGTGATACACTTGAAAATAGAGAAAAGGTTTGTACAATATGCTATATCAAAAAGCGTAAAAATATAGCTTCAGGGGCTGTGTAAAAGAAATATGTGGTGTTGTATTGATTGATAAGGAACTCTTTATAAGTCTTTGAAAATTAGTCGAGAGTCATTGACTCTAATAGAGATGGCAGCGAATACCACAGGTGATGCGCTGAAAGAAGTGGTTTGTTTAGCGTAGTTAGTTCTGATTTTCGGCTAGATGAAGTTTTTGTGTAAAGCAAATTTAGTGTTTTTAGGGCTATTAATATTATGAATGTTCTTTGTTGATCGATTTCGCAAATTAATTATTGCGTTAGTTTAGTTCTGTGAAACCACCTCACCATATGAAAGTGGTTAGCTCCTGGTAATATAATATTTTGGATATCCCCCCCCCCCACCCCCCTAGACATAAGGGTTGCGCATGGCCGTCCTTCATTCACGCCTTGTTTAGCTTCACCAGTAAAACGTTCAACGCCAAGGAGTTTTCGCGTGTCGAGCAAGATTATGTTCGCCGAGAATAATATGCTGTTACTGCAACGGAGAGAAAAAAAGTTAAACGAAGATATGTTTAATGCCATACTGCATACATTTACTGTACTATTGGACCCGAAACCATATATATGGCCTCCGGGATGGCGGACGCGCGGTCGCTATCTCGAAGTTCATGCAGCAGATAGGTGAAAACCAGTATAGTGCGTGCTTACCGAAGCGAGGCGTGCTTCGAGTACGAAGATTCTTTCTGCGATACTCCCAGCATCGTATTCAGTAGCATTTGGATTCAGAACAATTACAGCTGTGGTAATAAGAAACAGGTATGCGTCCACAATACGTCGATTGAAATCTGAAGCATTGGGGTTCAGGAGTGTCTGCCTGCCCAGGATAGGTAATGGCGCCTCATCTAACTGCAAAAAGAAAAACAAGCATTACAACAGGATCGATTTGTGGAGAGATTTCACTTTGAGAAAATTCTGGAGCTTGTCGACATTTAAAATTTGTTGCAGACTAATTCTGCTACAAGTGCTTTTCATAAAGGTAGGTCCGAACATTTCGAGTTATGTGTAAGTTATAGTCTTATTCTCATTCGTGTGTCAAAATTTGGGACCTTTTTCAAGTTTACAAAAATGTCAAGATAGCTCCTCCGCGCTTTAATAGGTTTGGACAGCCTCCTCTATTCCTGGCAGCAACGCATAGATAAATGAAGATCTACTAAACATTTATGGGTGTTCGTTATACTAGGGTGATAAGCCTGACCTGCAAGTTTTCATGCGGTACAAGAGGAATCACGATATCAACCTGCGCCTCATTAATGTCCTTTCGCAGCATCAGCATTCCCGAAATTAATAAAGCAGGTTTGTATCTGCATTCTTGCATCTGTATTCCTGTAGGTATAACACGATACCTGTCTTTTTTGCACAAATATTTCAGAAATACTCCACCACGACAAGGACGAGTTTTGTCAGTATGAGTATTTGAGGCTTCCAGCGCATATATTATGATATCTGAATTGCGGAACACTTTACTGAGTATTTGTGTTCAGGCCTGATTTGCAGTCACATTTGACTTGCGTGATATTGCTGCTGTGGTTTGTATGTGACTGTATGTGTAGCAAATCGGCTGCTGACCCGCAAGTCGCGGGATCAAATCCCGGCTGTGGCGGCTGCATTTCCGATAGAGGCGGAAATGTTGTAGGCCCGTGTGCTCAGATTTGGGCGCACGTGAAAGAACCCCAGGTGGTCGAAATTTCCGAAGCCCTCCACTACGGCGTCTCTCATAATCATGTCGTGGTTTCGGGACGTTAAACCCCACAAATCAATCAAATCAATCAAATCTGTATCTGTAGCAAATTCATTTCATGAATGTATTCTCAAAAGGTTATCTTAAGTGGCCGTACGTAATGAAAGCCTGTTGGTAAGTTACTGTTGTTTGAGTTCATTTAATGAGTCAACCGTCTCAGCAATACTGACCATGTGTTTAGAATAATTTTTGCTCTAAACAGGATGCTGAGATGGTTGTTTCATTATTTGACCTCGAGCAACAACAACTTACTAGCAGGCTTTCATTTCGACAACATCGGTTCGACCTCAATGTTGTCGCAAAATGACTTGCCGCCCGAAAAATAAAAATAAAAGCGAGGGGTGTGGCGATTGCCTTGAGAAAGTACGACATTAGACGGCATAGCATGATAGTATTGCCTCCGTGAATATGCTGTCATGGTGCCGTGCGCTTTGCCACTGGTGCGTTTGGCAACCCTGTACCGTCCCTCGGCGACCGGCGGCATGCATTTGCTTGGCTTGGGCCAAAAATCGCCCGTTCTTCCTGAGAAGCCAAATCCGTCCATTTCTGAACAAAATATCTGCGTGCTTTGCTAAAGATGTCGTCGACAGACGATTGTTTGCCGGCCGTCTTTTTCGTGCATAGCGTCGCATTTTCAGCGCAGCGTAAGAAGCACATAAGTGTTTAGAATTTGGTATTTATGAATTTTCTAGTAAAGGAACACACCACCTGATACTTACGTATTGATGCTGCGCCTCAGATATATGTAAAATTCGCTTTTCAAACGACACTGTTCCCAAGTACAAACGTAGACACCCCTTCAATATGACCGGGTGGGGCGTTTAACAAGTGCTTAAACTTTGGCCGAGCGGCTGATTCGTGTGACAGGCAAAAAGACAGACAGACATATCATGTTTCATTGCGTCTATTGTATCGTTATACCATTGTATCATGATATCGCATTGAGTTCTTGTGTACATATAGGCCAACACTGTCATGTATATTAGAGCAAATGTCTTCACTGTAATGTAGTGATGTTAGTCGTGAAATGTGCCGAAGTGTATGTGCCCTGTTACTGGAATAGTATGAAGCCTTTGTGTTCTGTACATGCTGTAAATAATTTTTTGTAAAGAAAATATCGACGTTCAAGTGTCACAACGAAGAAGACTATCATCTTTAAATATAACGAGATATCAGCGTCCTGCGCAATATCGCGATATCACTGATGCAATATGAAAGTATTTCAATACAGAGACAAATACATTTTTCAAATGTATCTCAATACTAGAAATGCAGAATCTGTCACATACTAGCATGACACTCTTTTTATCGCGACACTTTCGCGTGCTGCGGCAAACTAACTTCACCACCTCTGCTTTAGGCTGCTGACTGGTTCCTGCGCAGTCGTGCGTTTAAAGGTTAGAATCTTAGATCTTCTTCAACATACGCACCTGTATGATGAAACGGTTTGTGTCGTTCAGATCTTGACCGACATTGACAGAAAAAAATGGCCACAGGGACGTTGCCTCGAGAAGTTCTGTATAGTTTCTATAAGGAACTTCTGTCGGTCTCATGGCGGGCCATAATGGGAATCCCCACTCACGAAGAAGGTCTTTCACCATAGGGATGAGTTGCTCTTCCTCATAATCTGCAACGCGTGACGTGAGAAGTGATCGTCTTGATTTGAAAGCAGGCCGTGAAGAAAAATGAATGATAGGCTTGGTCAGTATGAAATTAAAAGAATAACAAACATACTTTGCACCAAAAGTTTCATAACCGACTCTTAGAACTAGAGTCAATTTCTCACAGAGCCTGACAGCTACAGAAACTATGCATTAGCGGTGAGACGTGGCATGCTGCGTGCCAGATTGTATGTAAATCTAACCGAAATTACCGATGCGGGAGTTTGACAGTGGCAGCTATTTCAATTTGACGTCGTTCTTGAGACATCTCCTGGGGCTGGCTGGGATTGCTTGCCACTCTGGTTTGTTGTTGTTTAAGGTGCAAATAGGAGCAAACGCCACTGCAGCACACTCGGAAGAGAATCGCACGCCTACTGCGACGGTTGAGGGTTCGAAACCCACCAATGACATCTTTTGGGTCTTCGTGCTCTTTTTGTTTTGCCTTGATTTCTTCGTTACCATGCTTCATTTAAATATTACAAACAGGGCTCGATTCGCTGTTCGCAGTTTTACCATATCTGGACTTCATACGGAGGCATTCGCTGACATACAGTTCAACACCTGAATGAGGCCCGTAGCCAGGAAGTTTTTTTTTTCGAAGGATGAGGAGGGGGCACTTGTTAAAAGCTTCGAAAAACACCAATTTTTTATTACTTCTCCTCGGTAAGACATCCCCCCACCCCTCCACTTCAACCGAATTTTGTGGGGGGGGGGGGGCAGGGCTACTTTTCCCTCATGATTATGGGCCTGACCGGAGTATACTTTCGGAAAAGTTGGGGAGCGAAAGAGGAAGCAGAAAGAAAGACTCACATTCGCATATACATGCTTGGTACATTGTTGCCGCCATCTCCATCAAGTTTTGCGGTTGGTCAAAGTTAGTTACATTTTCGATTATTCCTGGAAAGAACGAGTGACGGGTATTGAAGGCTACAGCCGTGAAATTTTAACACGAAATACGCATGCGAGAAGAAATTCATACGCACGTCAGCCACAGTTCATAAAAGAATAACAACGTCGGCGAAGTGTAAAACACATCGTTCTCACATCAATCGCTCATTGACTATTCTCAGTGCGAGTTGGAACGGTGATTGAAAAGATTACGTTTGCAAGAGTAGGCACTAAGTGTGACGTGTGGCGCTTAGATGTTGCAACTGTATTTTCTGTGTGCTGAGTTAGAGCAGCAAGATCCGAAGCTCTTTCCCAGATATGGCAGGTGCTAGCAATAACGTAAGTGGTGCCATCTGCACCTGTACACGTACTACGTAGAAATATTGCGGGCATATATGTTATCACAACGTGAGCTTCAGTAGAATGAGAAGTTTTTCGGGCTTCCTTAACTATCGTGTGCCTTCCCGTAGTGGTGTCATACCATGGTAAAATAGAAGCTTCTGAAAGGGCAGCAAAGTTTTACAAAATATTCGCTGTGAACATCTCTCTATCACAAACAAAAATTTAAAAAAATCACGGCGATCGTTAATTGCTCCTAGAGTTGTTTTCTGGGAGTGAGTCGAATAATTTAGTTCAATGAGGTAGCAACATAAATGCTCACGTTAATTGGGGAAAAAATCAGCGAAGTTTAGCTTTTTTGCTTCATTGTAGTTGCAGGTGTTTGGACGCCCAAGTTCTGCTTCGACGTCAGAACGTCTGTCACCGGCAACAGCGTTTTCAAAGACATGCATCAGGCGCAGGTGTTCACATTTAGTATTTTTAAGCTTTCATTTTTTTTGAGCTTGTTAAGTATTCCTATTAAGAATTCAGAAATGTCCCTAATAGTTTACAAAACCAGCTAAACCTGGTGTCTGTAGCCGTCGCTGGTGTCTGTAACCACTATCGTGCGAAATGAAAAACCAAACAAGGAATACTATTCAGGATGGTACGTGGTTCGAATCCATATCTCGCATCCAAGCCTGTGCTCGTAACTCGTTCGTAAAAATACCCTATAACAGCAGGCGTTACGTCGGCAAGTAACCGTGTTAACACTTACAACATAGCGCGGTGAAAGAGTAAAACGACAACCAGGCCTAACAGAATGAGAAACTTATAACAAGAAGTCCCGCAGTACGAATTGCGCAATCAGTGGTTCGTCGAAGGCATCCGACCCGTCACAAACGGTTCAGCCATAATTCTCGATCGTCATCAGCCACCGCATCGGCAAGGAAAAGGGAAGAAGGAAAATAGCTGGAAAAGAGCGACAGGGAGGTTAACCAGCCTATAGGCAGCCGGTTCGCTACCCTGCACATGGGAGGGGGATGGGGAGGTGAAAGACAGAGGAGAGAGGGAAGAGACATAAACACGGCACATTAGGTAGCTTACGCGCGCGCACCGCATTGTCAAAGCGCACGTAATGCCTTGGGAATGCGTATAGCGGGTACCTCGATTTCACTGAAAATGACAAGTAGTGACGTGGCAGATTCTTGCCAACTTCGCAAAAGTTGTGGCTTGTGGCGTATTGGGTTGCTTGCAAAGCGTGTTTCTCTTGGTAGCCCCACGAGAGACTAATGGTTTCCGGAAATACCACTTTTCCAGCTTTTGCAGCGACTGCTACGCTTTCCGCGGATACGTTTTTTTTGTATTTTGAATGGTATATCATTCCAACATACTCTTTAGGGGAACGACAATCGCTTTAAAACTTTGAAACGTCCCAACATACTTTTTAGGCGCACGACCATTGCTTCAAAACTTTGAAGAACTTCCAGCAAGAGTTTTTAATGACGTGAGTGAAGGGTTTCCTAGCTAATTAATTGCCGATGGAAAAGCCATTAGTCGTTAAGGATAATATTCATCGTACCAGCTTTTCTGAATCTGGGTCTGGATGTTTGAGAATCAGTTAGCCTTTCGTGTGGCGCCTATATCTACTCTGGGCTATAGTCACAGGGATGTTTCCGTTGCCATTGAAGAATTCGTCAGTCAGTTTAAAAGAATATCTAGCCAAATTCTACGTCCATTAAATTTGTGATCCCCAATAATTCGTGCCTAAATTCTTTACACTAGTATAATCATAGCTTATACGAGTAATACACTAAAGAAAATACTAAAAAAGGTTTACTTATCACTCGCCCAATTTCTTGCATTTGGTATGAGTCATGTAATGAGGAAAAAAGTGCTTTGCATTGTGCGATGCGAAGAATTGTGAATGCAATTATGAAATGCATTCAAAATTTTCGTTACATTACAACGTTAATCTCTAACTCATTCTAGCTCTTACAAAATATTAATCATCAATTCAATATGTACGATCCGCCCGATTCTTGGACGATCCCCCTGAGTGGGTAGGTGCCAATATTCCAAGTGCCAATATTTCAATATTCATCATCATCAGCAATGCAAGACACTGCATTGCATGCATTGCTAACGATTTGTCTTCTAGATTTAAAACTACAAAATCTTAACCGATACCTCAAAGTGGGTATATGCTAAATTCTGGAAGGCCCAAAAATAAACAAACAAACATTGCTATAATGCGGGACAACACTGGCCTTTGTTCCTGCTGAATGCAACGCTTACGTTTAAGTTCGTTCTTCATGTTTTCTTCGGTTTGTTCAAACGTTCCGAAAGAGCTGTCAGTATCTGGAATCGGGTGGTCTTTGATCCAGCCGTCGCACACGTAGCTGAAAAAGTCGTCGCAAGGGTCGACACTTGTGTTGATGCTTTTTAGAAGCGACTGTGCTGAAACGTACACGTGGAAAAAAAAAACGGTTAGTGATATATGTGATCGACGTATTATAACATCAAACTTAGTTTTTTTTAATAAACTTTACCATGAAATCCGCGTCAGTATGTTTTCCCTCTTCGATAATGTCATGCTGGTTCATATTACTTGGGCAACTGGAATGTTTATTTATTTATTTATTTATTTATTTATTTATTTATTTATTTATTTATTTATTTATTTATTTATTTATTTATTTATTTATTTATTACTACAAACCCAGGACTGGTCTAAGGAGGAGTGGTAGAAGAGGCAGGGTGTAAGGAAAAATGCGTCTAGTAACACATGAATACATCATGAGTAATTTAATCGAAACGTTCTCTAACGGTATGCATGAAAGATAACTTAGCAAATCTTTACATGAAATAAAAACAAAGCATAAATTAACACTGCACATTGAAGCTCTTAGCTACAGATAATTGCGTAAGATCGTTCCACTCTGATTTCGTATGCGGAAAAAAGGAAACCTGAAACGCTTTTCTTTTAGCAAAATACAGGGCGGAACAATGGGCACTATGATGTCGTGTGTGTCTATAGTGCACAGAGAAGATACACATGCACGTGGGTCAAAGGGCTAACTCATGATTAACGTGAAGATCGTTCGGCGTGCTATACCTAAATATGGTTTGGTTTGGTTTGCTTAATTCAAGGCAAACTTGAACAAGATTGCCTTGGGGGACACGACTAAAAGCTAAGTAAATGCCTGTAATCATATAGTGGTTTTGGGACGTTAAACCCCACAAATCAATCAAATTAAGTAAATGCCTGACTTGGTCGTGCCACCCTGGTACGACCAAGTCAGGCACGACAAAATAGTACAACTTTACCTGCTTCTGATCTTCAAGCTGGGTATTCATTAACTGTCTCTATAAATAATTGAGTAACTTATTACAACGGTACTAACAAAACTGTCTTGTACGGGATTTCGGGTACCAACAGGCGAATAAGGAATGAAAACGATAGATTTTAATACTAACTGCATGAACGTCTATCGAATGTTCATGAGGAAGTGTGAAGTTACGGTCTTTAAAGTAATATTGAATTCCCTGCCGTTCCACATATTAAAGCTACGGTGTGGAACACGAGCGACGCCGTAGTGGAGGACTCCGGCGATTCCGAGCCCCTGGGGAGGGGAAGTGATTATAAATGAAAAGAAGAGAAAAGTGAGCCCCGTAACTGTCTCTCACGGGGAGGACACCTCAACAGTACCTCATGGGGGACGGGGGTAGAGAAGGGAATAAAAGGATAGGATTAGAAGATAGAGAGTTAGAGAAAGAGGAAAGGGGGTGAGCCGCAGAAACAGGGAGTGACGGAAGTAAGGAGAAGACAGGACAAATGGACACGGTCGCAGGAATCCGAGGACGGGGCACCACTGGCGAGAGCTCTTGTCGGCGACAGGAGGTGGCGTAGGGCTAATCCAGTCGGCCAGAGCTATACGCTGTCGTCGTCGTCGGGGAGCAGCGGCAGGAGGTGGCGTATAGGACCAACCTAGTCGGCAAGAGCTGCGCTGTCGTCGGAGATCACGAGGGCACAACCGGTCGGCATGGAATCCAGCGCGACTCACTCCTCTGGGGAGTGAGTGCTTGGTGTTGTTTAACATGCACCTAAAACTGGGTGTACGAGCCTCTCGGATTTAGCCTCCGTCGAGACATGGCCGCTGCAGCTGGGATTCGATCCTGTGACCTTCACCTTCGGGGCAGCAGTAGGGCCCCTTTACCACTGCGCCAGCCCTGCATTTACATGACCTATAAAAACTAAGTAACCACATTTATAGTGGCACCTTAGCACTTACAACCCTTTTTCTAATACGTAACAAACATTTCGCTCAGGCATATCGCGCAAGTAATTGCTGAAGGGTAGTGAGGAAGCCAATCCGTAGGTTAAAAAAAAAAAAATGTCAATTCTCGAACTTTCTATCCGAATTAGTGACTAGACATCTTTCCTCTAATGTTGTAGGCCCGTGTGCTCTGATTTGGGTGCACGTTTAAAGAACCCCAGGTGGTGGAAATTTCCGGAGCCCTCCACTACGGCGTCTATCATAATCATATGGTCGTTTTGGGACGTTAAACCCCACATATGAATCAATCAATCAAGCTTTCCTCTAATTGACAATGGGCGCAGTCTGCCTGAGAAGACGCACAAAAGAAGTTCAATAGAGCAATAAAAAAACTTTTTTTATTTCTTTGTGTACGCTCACACATAAGCAGCTGTTATGGCCAACTCGTAAGCAACTTGTTTGCTGTGTTGTCCGCATGCGTGTAGTTTCTGGAAATTTATGACCTTTAATGACGCAACAGTTCTTTGTAATGCTGTTAAGCAGTGACGAACGAGTGTTTTAAACACACAGCATGGCCAGTCAAATGTTACGCTGGCATTTTGAGAGTGTACACTAACACCCGCAAGCCGCTTATATTATGTAAGAGTTCACTTCGCCGTACACACCATAGTTACAGGCCATGACAACGACGCCATTGTGTCTCAAACTTTTTCAGGTAATGCAGGGGTCAAAGCGAAAAGCTGTCACATTTAAGTTGAAAGTTAGTTGTGCCACTTGTCTAGCACCGGAAAATATGAACTAAGTACACAGAAAGTGGCTGGGAGAGAGATTTGATTTGTGGGGTTTAACGTCCCAAAACCACCATATGATTATGAGAGACGCCGTAGTGGAGGACTCCGGAAATTTTGACCACCTGGGGTTCTTTAACGTGCACCCAAATCTGAGAACACGGGCCTACAACATTTCCGCCTCCATCGGAAATGCAGCCGCCGCAGCCGGGATTTGAACCCGCGACCTGCGGGTCGACTCGGAGAGAGAGAGAAGGAAAACTATTTCCGGTAGTTTCAATGCGAAGGAACTTCAAGGTTACATGTATTTATGCGATGTAAATGGAAATCTACTAAAACAAACTTTCAAATCGCCCGTGGTATGGGGAACGAAGGACATACCAAATTAAAGTCACATATTTAGATTAAGGTAAATTTACGGGCGATATAGTGAATATAAAGTCCTCTCTTATAGTTACACTATGAAAATATGCATTTTTGTCCCTGCGCAAATACTACAGTTATAGTTTTAAAGTTTTTTTTTGTTTTATGAGGTATAGTGTTTGGAAGAGCGAAGCCCATTTAAACTGCCACCACTTGGACAACAGTCATTTTTCGCCAAAATCTTCGACAAAGTGATATTGCCGTACGGGTTCAACGTGACGGACAGGTACACCTCACCTTGCAAATTCCGACCTAATCTCTGGCGCTCTCGCACGTTCCAGAATGCACGTTCGCGTACTAAACATGAACAAAACTATATCGCCGTGAAATTCTCGACAGCATCTGAGAAATTTAGAATGCACGAAGCTGCGCTTTTCGAAGACCTCTCGCCAGATACTAGATACGAGCGCATTATTCTCACCTAGCGTTCTTTTTTTTTTTTCTTTCTTGCTCACTTCGGGACGCTAGCACTGAGATTCACTTGCCGTAATACTACGGTGCGTACTTTCGATACGGTCCGCCTCGGTGGATCAGACGTTATAGTGTGCTCGGCTGCTGGAACGAAGGTCTCGGGTTCAAGCCCCGCCGCGGCGATCGCATTTCGATGGAGGCGAAGTCCTTGATATCAAGCCCGTGGACCGTGTGACGTCAGGGAACGTTAAAGAACACCAGGTGGTCGAAATATTCGGAGCCCTCCGCTACGCGGAGTCTCTCTTAATCGTATCGTGGCTTTTAGACGTTAAACCCCATATAACACACTCCCGAATAAGTCGATGTACGTGAAATATCAGTTGCCCCGGCGCGGTGGTCTAGTGGCTGAGGTACTCGGCTGCTGACCCGCAGGTCGTGGGATCGGATCCCGGCTGCGGTGGCTGCATTTCTGATGGAGGCGGAAATGTTGTAGGCCCGTGTGCTCAGAGATGGGTGCACGTTAAAGAACCCCAGGGGGTCGAAATTGCCGGAGCCCTCCACTACGGCGACTCTCATAATCATATGTTGGTTTTGGGACGCTAAACGTCTCATATCAATCATCAGTGAAATATCGGTTATCGATTTTATCCCACTCTGCTTAGCCATGCAGCCACTCTCCCACTTTTTAACGACGATAGTCTTTCTTGGGGACCTTCGACGCAAAACGTTTGGTCTGTCTGTCTGTCTGTCTGTCTGTCTGTCTGTCTGTCTGTCTGTCTGTCTGTCTGTCTGTACATTTGTCTGTTTGTCCGCTTTTAACGGCACCGGGGGTTTTGAAACGGCTGACCCCATCCGCAGCGCCCACTAAATTTGCTCAAAATTTAGCGTTCGTACTTGTGCAATTGTCAATTAAAAAGCAATTATTGCGCATGTCTGGGGCACCATAACAACACGTATATATTCTGCATGTGCCTCTTTTACTGGAAAAAGCATACATAAGTAATTTTAAGGACCCATTGTGCTTATCACGCTGCGCTGACCATGGAACGTTTGCACTAAAAGGCGAGTGTTTTCAACGCTTTGCTAAGACGAGACAGTGGTGGCACCTACCCGTCACCTTGCGTTCTACACCTTATCACCTCTGAGACGGGCGCGCACACCCGTTTCAGAGCCACGCGCTTCGTTTTCCAAGAAAACTGCCAGATAGCGCTCATGTCTCACGTGCGACGTGACTTGATGCGCTCGTTCGCCTCCGCTGCACGCTCGAGGCACTCTAACGTAGCGCCTCCAGAATACCATTCGTCGGTTTTCTAGCGCAGAACGTCAAATAAATGTTTCGTTCACTCTCTCCACACGCAATGCTATCGTCTTTCGACGACATTTGCAGATTATTATGCTGATACGGGGCAAATTTGTTTTTTTGTGTCGCGTTACTATCGTACGCGATCGACTGATTTCGATTGATTGATTGATTGATTTGTGGGGTTTAACGTCCCAAAACCACCATATGATTATGAGAGACGCCGTAGTGGAGGGCTTCGGAAATTTCGACCACCTGGGGTTCTTTAACCTGCACCCAAATCTGAGTAGACGGGCATACAGAATTTCCGCCTGCGATCGACTGATTTCATTGCATTTGTGTGTTTCGACTGACTGCGAAAACCCAGATAACAGCGTGTGGCTGATAAGCGCGATATCATGACAGGCTCGAAGCCTTGTGGTGGCATTTACACGTGCTTTTCTGAAATGAGAGATAAGTAGGAGATATCGCCTGTGGGAAAGGTATTAATAACGATAAAAAAATAAAAAAAAACTTATTTCGCCTTTGATCTCGACGTGGTGCGGGGCCTTTTGAAAGCGTTGCTTCGTGCGTCGTAAAGCAATATCTATTGCTAGAGCTGAAGTTCGTCGGGCTAGTTTATCACGTATTTGTAAATGGTAAAACAGCCTGGAAAGAGACTAACCACGAGTGATCCTGCCTTTGTGTGCCTTCACTCGTGCTAAGTCCTTTGTTGCGCTGTTTTTTTTTTTCATTTACGGGTCTGTTGCTGGCTGGTGAAAAAATGACCACGGGGATGAAATGTTCGTTACGGATGCATGTCAATATATATACCACACGGCGAGTCAGCTAGCGACATGGCTATACATATTAATGACAATATTTGCTGGGGTTGAGCGTTCCAAAACCACCATGGAATTACGAGAGGACGCAGTGAAGGGTTCCGCAAATTTCGACCACCTGGGTTTCAATAATGCGCACCAAAATAAAAGGTAAATCTAAGAATGCGCACAAATTTCTACATGGTAAATTGTTCTCGTAATTGCTTGACGCATACTCCGAATATCGGCGGGCGGCGCATGCATGCCAAACTTACCTCTCGTTTTACATACTTCTGTGTTGCAGACAGTGTAACTCTTGGCTTTTCCTAAGTATATAAAAAACACACACACAGCAAACTTGATTTACTACACATTTTTTCCAAAAAAAAAAAAAAAAATCAGTGACACCGCGAGGCTGAAAGTATGCATACTATAGCAATAACTTGAATTGTTATATGAAGTAATACTAGGGGCTACCTTTTCTTTATCCTATCACGTGTAACCCTACAGAACGCTTACGCTTACTTAAAGGCGTCGTGAAATGGTCGCTTTACAACGACAATGCGGCACCATCGGCAGCCACATGCGCTAACTGTATCATCAGCCCGAGTGGACCTGCATAGACGCTTTGCCTATCGAGGAACATGGAACAATCAATCAATCAATTGATTGATTGATTGAACTCTATGGCATATCGGGCACGCGCAAGAGGCGCTCATCGGCGTCTGCCATGCGCGATCCGCGTCCCACAACGACGCTGCTTAATATGACGTCACAGTTCAAGTGAGCACCGATTGCGTATGACAAAGACGCTTATGAGTGTCTGAGTTGCACGCACTCGCAAGTACCGAAGAGTTCCGCGTTCCTCGATATGCAAAGCATAGAGTTTCTCAAAATTAACTAGAGAGCACTCTGGCGCTGCGATCGTTCAGCGATCATGGGAATGATGGGTAGTACACACATTTGCCTAGTCTTCGTACTTGCGGGCAGCAAATCGTACTTGCGGCTTCGTTTATTGCTGGTTACGGTTTTGTTTTGAAAGAAAGGACGAACCCTTTTGAACTTAGTGACTTGATTCAATAAGGAAAGCCTAAAAGAATAAGGTTGTGAAGCGCAAACGGTGAACATTTGCTAATTTGTTTTCGTGAAAAAACAGCTCCAAGCCACGCGAACACACACGGAGCCAGAAGCAGGCCAGAAGTACGAAAATTAGACAAATGTGTGTATTACCCATCATTCCCATGCTCGCTGAAGCGCCGTGTGTTGCAGTTTCCATAGACACTAGCGCCAGAGTTCCCTGTAGTGGAAAACTCTATGATGTGTGGGAAACTGTGGGAAACTCTATGATGCAAAGCATTACTTATGATGACGTCACCTAGTTAGTGCTTGTGAACGCCGGTGGCTTCGCATTGTCGCTTTAGAGCTACCTTTTCTCGACTCCTTTAAAGTAACATGGCTGTTCCAGAGAGCGAAATGATTCACACTTTCCCTGTTGCCTCTGCGCGAAGTGACGTGCCTGACAGCTGTCCAGATGGCGCCAAAGCCAGTGCTCTCACACGACAAAATGTTGATACTGCTAATTCATACTCGGTCGTTGTAAGCTGATGTTATTTCCACTCTTCAACAGCCGTGGCAATTTGCTTAAAGGTGGCACTGCAACACATTTCCAAGTGAAGATCGAATGGCCTTTTCAGAAAATGCTTCTAGCCTCACGAATTGGCTGCCACAGTTTTTTTTTTAAAGTCCGTCATGTACGACCAGAGTTACAGGAATTGTCGCGCGCTTGAAGAACTTTCTACTTTTCTACCAGCGGAGGCGTGGAAAGCTATGCGGGGGGTCGGCATAACAAGTGGGCAGGAAGATGCGCCCTTTCGTTAGCGCGTGTCGGCACCTTCGGCACTTAGATGTTCGCTCCTTCGAACTTGTCACCTCTGGCGTAGATTCATGTTGTGCTTGCCTCTGGCGAAAATTGGGACGACTCACTGCTCTTCCATAGTTGAGCACGATGTACTCGAAATCGTCGAATATTTATTCGAAACACACACAGCTTCTTTTCAATGTGATAATAAGAGAAAAGTAAAACGTTTATTCGGTGTTGTGTGAGATCTGCGAGTGGAATATCCTTAGTCTGGGATTATATTGGCGCGGGCCGTGGTCCTCCCACGTTTAACAAGGGCCACTTGGGTCTTCGGATCTGAGCTGGATAGATCTGCCCCCCTTCTCCTTCCTCACTTTTCAATTAAGCTTCACCCTTCATTCAAATTAGCCTATTACGCTGCCGAATCATTAACTGTTTTCAGTTTGGCATTAATTCCTACGCGCTTATTTGTCGCTAAAGCATTGCCCGCAGCAGTCGATTCTATTATCCTGGCGTATATTAACGTCTTCAAAAAACAATGGATTCACACTTCCTGTTTTGGGCAAGTATACCCTCTGCAAAATGAACAGCTTTTTTATAGAGATTACCCTGCTGGCTTAGCTGCCTTTTGATTGCAACATTTCAGAAGAGACTTACAAGGAAGGAACAACTCGGTCTTTTTGAACTATAGTCTAGGTAACGCGTTAATGAACGGCTTCTACGTTATTTTTTGTTTTAGTACATACTTTCTTCAGTGTACTAATTTGCCACTCTATGGAGTAAGCCTACGGCGTGAGATACGAACGTTCCATGTGCTTTATGCAGGAAATAAAACTTGTGGGTTACATAACCTATTTGCGGCATACCTCACGATTTCTTAATAAGTTGCGATTATTGTGAGCTCATTTGCGTTCTTCTTTTATGCAGATTAGGACAAGAAAATGAAGCCAAATTTACCTTTTGGTACAGCTAGAGATATACTGCATGGAATTAGTCGGCTGAAGACGGGGGCCATGACATAGACAACCACGGTTGTCAGATGCATTGCTTCTGTTTTTGCGCCTGCAGAAGGAAATCCACCGAGTATTTATCGTCTGAACGACACTTATCCATATTGTCACATGTGTTGTGGCGTCAATGCAGACCGCAGCTTGTATGTTGAAGGGGCAGCAGTTTATAAGGTCGGATTTGTGGCCGGTGAATGGAAAAGTCAGCTTACAGCGATACACATTGGCACGGACGGCGGCGAAGAGAGCGTTGGTCGCCGATCAACTGACAGGCGGTGATGTGCGTCGGCATTTTTAAATGTGTCGTCGAATGTTCCGGCGTTATTGACAGCAGCCACGTGCGTTCCAGAACGATCCATAATGTTCGCGTTGTGTACGTAATCGCATCGGAAAGTCCTAAGATTATCTCGGTGGTTCTTGGTTCATCAATTCGGTTCGCCCAAGCCAGCGCTCACACTTGAATCATTCCACGCCAAACGTCCCAGATATTTTGGCGACCATCGCAAATGTATAAAAAAATTGTGCTGATATTGTGCTGATTTACTGTATTGAGAACAGTAAATTGCTAGAACATTGTGGACAAAAAAAATTTTTTGGTCACGTGGGTAGCTTCTGAACTTACCAGAATGTCGTCTGGGTGTTGTTTGTCAAAAAAAAAGTACCGATTTTTTTTTTCTACACCCCATTTGGTCTACATGTTCAGTAAAGGAGCTTGTGTAAGATGATCGAAGCTCAATAATATTAATGCTTATTTTTCTGCCACGTACGTCTCCAGGAATTTAGCCAAAACGTGTTATGTTTAAATTTTTTCTGTTGCAATACCGCACTTTGTATTGATATCTGACTAATGTATACTTACTCAACAGAAGGTATATTTTGTGGAAAAAATACTAGTACTAAAAATACTAGTAAAATACTCAAGCTGATAAACTGCACGAACAAAAATCGGAAAATTTCCAAAATCGCCTTTTTTGTCAATATTCTGACGCAATTTGCACCATGTGGTGGTTTAATTAAGTCATACCTAACTTGAAAGCAAATGAACAGCTTTTTATTTGGCTGTTCTATGATAGTTTTATGATAACAATTTTTGATTTAAGGAAGAAAATAGTTTATTTATTTTCGAAGCGCTCACGGCTTAGAAGACTGTGATCATTTCGGTCTGATCAACGCACAGTCGAAAGTGTAACCACAAACCCTGTAAAATATGTGTGACTCAAAAGTCCCCCCTGATGTTTCTGCGGAATCGGATGCCTCCAGCAGGATTACAATATCGTGCTTCGTGGTGATGCTCTGACCATTGTTCAACTGGCACGAAAAGTGCCCTTTTCCATCCAAGAGCCACAACGGGTTGAGTTCACCAGGATGGGACAAGAGGGCGTGCCCCGCCGCGGTGGTCTAGTGGCTAAGGTACTCGGCTGCTGACCCGCAGGTCGCAGGATCGAATCCCGACCGCGGCGGCTGCATTTCCGACGGAGGCGCAAATGTTGTAGGCCCGTGTGCTCAGATTTGGGCGCACGTTAAAGAACCCCAGGTGGTCTAAATTTCCGGGGCCCTCCACTACGGCGTCTCTCATAATCATATAGTGGTTTTGGGACGTTAAACCCCACATATCAATCATCAATCAACAAGAGGGGGTAGTCAAGATCAGCTGCCACATGAACTGAATGAGTCTTTTAGTGGTTGTAAGAAAAAAGGACGGTAAGCTAAAAACTTTTCTACATCTTCTAAAAATGAACGAGAGCACAAATAGAAAACATGCCGAAGACATTTATTTTATCACAACCTACGCCGACGTTCTGCAGTGGTACAGAACGAGCAGACGCCTCTACCCACCGCCTCACGGAGACCTACAACGCAGAGAAGCAGCCACACTACGGCAGCTGCAAGTACAAGCATTATGGACCCCCGTCTGGGCAAAGCACGTTTGCCCGGAGGTTTACATCACTGATGTATGCCAACACTGCAAGAAGGCGCGAGCCACCCAGAGACACCTCCTTTGGAACTGTGCACCACCGGCGGGTAACCAAGAAGTAACGCTAACTCCCATAAGCAGCAAAATCATCAGCCGAGAGCCAGGCAACCAGAGACGTGGTCCAGCACGTGCTTAGCATCCTGGAACGCCAGCGGCCGAAAGCGGCGCCCCCGCGGGTTTGACGCGAGCAGGTTGCTGCTCTGGGACGTCCGAGCACGCTAGTGTATCGCTTTAATCCCCCTACCCCTTCCCCCTTTATGCCGGATCGTCAATAAAGTTGTTTCACTCACTCACCAAATGTCACGACGCGAGAACATTGAAGCAAAACTTGCACGCGCCAATTTTTTTTTCTCGTTTTGAAGCTACCGCAGGGTTCGTTTGAATTCCTCTGAACGAGTACTCATCAAAGCTATGCAGTTTTTCCGCCCCCTTCAGCCATTACTGTGTTCTTGGGCTACCCCCCGGCATAACACATGCCAGTGAGGTTTTCCAGAAAAGCGCTGAACAAAATATTTGATTGCCCCTCGCGTGTATGTTTATGTGCTGATCTGGGGAAGCACAAAAGAAGAGCATGATTGGCGCCTAGAATACGCGTTGCAAGCGGCCAAGATTGCGAGGCTAACATTTAACCCTGCAAAGTGTGTGTTCGCAGTGCAAGAGATTGAGTTGCAAGGTGACATACTATGCCGCCTCGGCATCAAGTCAGATCCTTCACCCTTTGCCAGTGTATTCGACTTACGAGCACCGCAAAACGGAGAGGTTGTCCAGAGATTGCCGAGTGTACATAACTATTTCGGCAAATATGTATCCAGTAAGATGCAGCGAACGACGCTTTTGTGCTCTTTCGAAGCCCGATGTACTGTCGGCCGTAAAAGTTTGCGGGATCTGCAGCGCGTTGGCGGAGCAGTGCAAAATCGCACTACTGCGCCGCCTACCGCAACGCGCCATGGTGTTGCGGTTATCGGCCGTGGCTTCCGACATTAGGGAGTTTTAGTACTTCGGAATGGTGCTACGTACGCATCACGCAAGCGCCTTGCGTTACGTGGCGTCGTTTGCCACTAATCGGCTTTTAGTACGCCGTAGTACCCGCGTACGTAACGAGCGTGAAGCGTGTTGCGTCATCTGATAGATCAAAATAGAAGCACGTGTTGTTGACAGCCAATGTGAGCCAATCCAAGTGTTATAGCCAGATTATGGCCATATTTTAAGCCACAGAGCCGGTCGATGCTTGCCTTCGATGCCGCCATTTTGCAAAACGAAGTCTCGCGCTGTAGCGAACTTGTTCGAGAGCGGCGCGATCACCAAGTACGTACGCACGCACGCATCTCATGCGTGCGTACGTAGCGGCCGCGTACGTAACGCTATACGTGCGCGTTGCGGTCTGCGCATGCGCACTACGCAGAACGTGGTGTCCTTACGTACGCAACGCCGCCACGTACGCAGCGTACGCAGTACTAAAACTCTCTATTATATACAGCAGTTTTGCACTGTCTATAAACCGTCTAAACGCGCCGTTGCTAATCGCCAAGACCGCGTGCGATAACTTCAGCCCCATGGGGTGGCATGGTATAGGTGCTGCAGCAATGCAGTTTTTTGCCGCTCCGCTAAGCGCTGCAGATGCTGCAAGCTTTTGCGGCTGATAGTAAAGTTTAAACGGACGCCCGAGCAGAAACAAGAATGGCGTGATATTTGCAAATCGTTGAGTGCAGCCTCACTCTCGGCAATCTTTGACCCAAACTGGGCCACGAAGGCCGCATCAGATGCGTCTAAGGATGACGTGGGTTCAGCCCTGTTGCCGCTTCACGGAGGTGGTTTGAGGCCAATGGCATATGCTTCTGAAGCATTCACAGCATTCGCTCGGCAGTACTCTGAAATGTAAAAGGAATCGCTCGTTTCAGTGTTCGCCTGCAAGAGATTTCATCAGTTTGTTTATGGTCCTTCAGTGACACTAGAAGGCGATTATCGTACTCTTGATTGATTGATATGTGGGGTTTAACGTCCCAAAACCACCATATATGATTATGAGAGACGCCGTAGTGGAGGGCTCCGGAGATTTCGACCACCTGGGTTTCTTTAACGTGCACCCAAATATGAGCACACGGGCCTACAACATTTCCGCCTCTATCGGAAATCCAGCCGCCGCAGCCGGGATTTGATCCTGCGACCTGCGGGTCCACAGCCGAGTACCTTAGCCACTAGACCACTGCGGCGGGGGATTATCGTACTCTTAACGACATCACAAGAAAGGCCATATCAGAAATGCCCCCTCGTGTGTAGCGCTTTTTTTCCTTAAGCTTTTACGTTATTACGTGCTCACTTTTGTTCCTGGTAAACAGCTGAACTTGGCGGACATGTCGTCTAAGTCCTCTAGTCCAGCAGAGATTCCACCTCCGTGGGCACTACTGACGTCGATCTCTATGCTGTCAGCGTCGTGTCGCTGCAGTCACTCGTTTCCGAGAAAACGTCGGGATGCCTTGCGCGTAAGACAGCTTCTGACCGATGTCCCACACTAGCGTTGCAAAATATTATGAAAGAAGACGTGGTTGAAGGGCCGCCACCTTCAGTAACGTCCAAGTTGTCTGTGGTTATTGGATGAATGGATGGATGCGAAACTTCGTTTAATATCCTGAGGTGCGCGACTCAACGCGCAGCAAGCCCTTTGGCGCAATTCTAAAGAAAGAGATGGTAATGCACTGAAAAAAAATTGAAATTTTATTTCGCAGCAAAAACATGCTACGAGGGCAGGTCAAAGCTGTGAGAGCAGCTGTAGTATAGCCCTGACTCCCTAGTACACAGGAAGCGTGCAAGACGTGTGGCTAAGGACAACCAAAATAAGAGGGTTTCGCAATGTGCATTGAAACAAAAAAAAAAACAATGAAATATTACAATGCAGTCATAAAAAGGTAGTTGCCAGGTCACATAATTATATAAACACTAATCGCAAATGTTTTAGTGACATGCTGGATATGCCAATGTTCTTATTAGGCGGCTTAGAAGTGTAGGCAGTGGAAACTTTAAAGCTTAAACGTTGACGACGGCCGTAACAAACACAGACTGTGAAATGTTT